TGTGTCACCAGTCTCTCAGCCTCGGCTCCCAGCCGCTCGCAACCCCATTCCCAGCCTGATGAAGTACTGGTCCTGGCGCGGCTTCCAGTGACTCCAAACCAAACAGCCAGGGGCACAATTTGGGAGGCGATGGCTGTTTGGCAATGAAATAGGGTATAGAACGAGAACTACGAAAAGATACTTAGCTCAAGGCATATTGAGGTCAAGGCGTGAGCTGCCATCAAAGCGTTCTCCTTTGTTGGCCTGAATAACAGGCGCTCAGCCTTTTCAACGGCTATATCTAAGGGTCCAAGAATGCACCGCCAGAACTACAGAGGTGAGTGGACGTTTGATGCTTGGCTTTCTTGACCGTGCCGGCACCCTGGAAATATGCCTTGCGCCATCAAGACTGACCACCCCCGCCCCCGCCCAACCAAAAAACACGGGAGAACGGGTAGGACATGGGAAAGTTGGGAGGGCTGCGCGCGACCCCTCCAAATTAACAGCAGACTACCTAGGTGTTAGAATAGGGGTACCCTTTTTTTCTGTAGTCAATTTTGGTAGGGGAACCCTCCCCCAAAAAAGGGTAAAAGGGCACTACTGGGGGACCTAGCTACCTTTTGGTTTGGAGTTGCATCATGCGCTTCACTGTGCATCATTGATGCGCTGTGCATCAGGTGCCGTGATGCGCCCAGCTGGTCGCTTCACAGAGCCAGTCGCAAGATATGCGATGAGCGACTGCGCGTTGAAGAAACGAAAACCCGGAGGCAACTGAGACACGGGGCCAGGCCCCCCAAACAGCACCACTGCTGACGACGTTGCTCAATGACGCACCGATACAGGAGTCGCTCTAGTGCCATAGAGCAGGAGGATGAAGCACTCCTTTGCAAACAAACGGAAAATCACAAATCAGTCTTGCGGGCAGTGCACTGAAAGGGTTGCAAGTCATTTTCACCACCAAGCATCCGAGAGCAGACAGGCAGAAAGACACAAGTGCACCTTGCAGGCAACAGCAACTGAAAACGCAGCAATCCCCACGCTCGCGTCAGCAAGAAACTGCATCCTGCTCCGCCTGCACTGAGAGAATCGCAAACCAGAAACAGAAACCAGAGGAGGGTCATATGTGGACATAAACTCTGCAGCTGAGAACCGCCACAATGCCAGTCCTCCTTGCGCAAGCCAGCCTAAAACGTGAAATCGGGAAACAGCCGTAAGTTCCAAAGAGACCCGTGCGCTGAGCATAAAGCACCTTGTTCCGGCCCAAGCTGGACAGCCTCTCGACAGCAAACCTCAAATCATGACCCGACTGAACAGCATTAACCCTGATGGCATGTTCACAGGCCTGAGTGACATTCCACAAGACCGCGCCCTCAAATCTGAGCGAAGGCTCCACTGCGTAACAATATCCGAGACAAGCCCCAAGTTGCGATAGCACTTCAAGCCCCTCGCACCCCAATACTTGCCATAGCACTGCGAGGTGCATTTCCCACTCTTCAGCGCGCAGAGAAAGCGTTGAAGTAAACAAAACATCACATTGCGTGACCAACACCGGGCCACGTTGCAGCCTTAAGCACCTGCCACCCGGTGCGGTTCTGCCCATGATGCGAACCGCCAAGCAAAACTGAAAGTTTTCCACTGCGAAATGTCCGTGCCGACCATGCAGTTTTACTCCTGTGTCCAGGCGACATCCAACACGGCGCCAAGTCCAAACAGCAGGGTCGGAAGGTTTTGGGGTTAGAGGATTGATTCATCTATGCGCCGTCGGTGTGGAACAACAGACCAGCAGTTTCGTCAACTGCACGAGTCAAAGTCTCATTCCCTTCTGTCCTGGACCGAGCCGCTTTGACATCTGCAAGGCTGTGGCGTGTCCTGGCGATAGAGATTCACAACGGGGTGTGTCGTGGAGCCTGCCTCCCTTTTTGGGCAGCTTTGGAAGAAAACTGACAGGGAACCAGCCCAACCCTGCCCATCACCCCCACACCACCGCAAAAAGCCCATTTCTTTCGGCCCTCTCACCATTACTGCACCAGAAAGCTCACTTTGAAAGGGCCGGGCTCTGGTGATGCTTACAGGCTTCCCAGAACCAAATCACCAACCCTGGAGCGTTGGTGACGGAAACCAAACTAGGAGCCACGAGCAAAAACTGGAGGTTTAGTCCTGCTTTACAATCGACCCGATCGGATCCCAAAGGATCCCATCCGTGGAAAGAATCGATCCCACAGCCAAGGGCTTGCCATGGGCACTCGGCAAGCTTCCATCACCCGATCACCCGGTCGAAGCCCGAAAAATGCGGGGGGAAGGCTGAGGAAACGTGCTCTTTGCGGCCCCCTCACAATTTGGTACCCCAACAGCATGTAACAGAACCAACAAACACACCACCAACACCAAACCGAAACCAGGCACGAACGAAACGCCCGGAAACTGCGCCTCCGCGCTTCGGGAAGCCTAGAGCTAGGGCGTGGGCATGGCTTGCGCGTGCGGAATTCCGCCCTTTTCGTTGGGGTGGTGGACTTCAGTTGATTAGATTTGTGTTCAACTCCGAACCTTGGATTTGCGGATGCATTCACCTGTCCTGCAAGTGTGTGTGTGTGTGTGTGTGTTCAGAGGACTAGACTTGCACAAAGGAAGTCGAATGACTGGAGTACAAGACCTCTAAGGAGAAGCACGGTGTTCAATCCCAAACCCACAAATTTGCCTTTATGCTTCACGGGCAGGGATTGAGTCAAAGATGTGATGCCCTTGCCGAACTCTTCTCCCAGACATTCCCCCGAAGTCCGCAGTCCAGGGATACCCTGCCAAGCTTCAACCAAGGCCGAACCCGACATTTGACGCGTCGCAACGATGGAATCGGAGGCCCAAGTTTTTGACGCCAAAATGGCAAGGGACTGGGAGAAAGCCAGGGAAAAACCAGTGACGCGGCTTTCCGGGAGTCCGAACTCCCCCAAGTTCCAACTAGAATGTGCTTGCAGCTCCAATTCGGAGATGCATCTGTTCGCCGGTGCTCCGCTCACCACGAAGACGTTTGCAAACAATCAAAAGATCCAAAGATTAGCAACCATCAACAGCAGACTAACCTGGCCAAAAACCCTGGAAAATGTTTAACTTTTGGGGACCTTGACTAAAAGTGAGCCCCAAAAAAGAAACTGAAAGGTTAGCACTCTGGGTCCACCTTTGGGGACCTCAAAATAACCCTGCAAATTGGATCTTAGAGGCAAATCCCCCAAAAGCAATCTTGAGAACTCCCGCAAAACTGTTTGGCTCTTGATTGTTTGCAAAGGGCCCTATGCAAGGGAACCCTACACAATTCCCAATCAAGGGAATCCCCCAAATCCCCCCTCAAAATTCCCTTGATTGGGATTTGGGATCCCCCCAACTCCCCCCTCAAATTCTCCCCTACAAAATTCGCGCCCTCGAAATCCCCCCCGCCAAATTCTCGGTTCTCAAAATCCCTTTGCTGTATTTCCCGCAATTCGCTGGGCTTCCCGGGCAGGGGAGAGTGCTCCCGCAATACGCCCTCAGCTGCCTGCAGCTTCCAAAAACATGTGCTTCGAGACTTCTTGAGCTCTGGAAGCTTGGGGGCGGCTCTCGAGTTGTTCGTGTTTCCTGGTTTTCTCAAGATGTTTCCTCTGCATTTGTTAGCAACTGACCATGACTGGACACCTCAAAACGCGCAAGAAGCGCACTTGCGAGGGTCCTCTGCTCTGGAAAAATGAGGGTAGGGTGCCCACACGGATGAAACCATCCAATGGTTCAACAAGTGCGCACCCCCCCAAAAAAAAAAAGAAAAGAGCTCAGGTGATATTCCCAACAGCATGCGGTGCCCTTTTTAGCGGTCGCACCACCCCGCAGCCCTCGCAGAACCTCGTGGAACTGTGGTGGAACCCTCGTGGAACCTTGTCTCGGAGCCGCCCCGGACCACCCCGGAGCCCATCTGGGCTGAGACCCCAAAGCTTTCAGCTGTTGGGGGAAAAACACCCATTGAGAAAAAAACCGCGCCTGCGGAAACCCCCACCGCCCCGGAAAAGAGAAGAAAGGGAGCCCACTCGATGGTTGTCCGCGTTGGTTCTTCGTACAGGGGAAACAAAAAAAGTGGAAAACGGGCGTCACTGAACCGGGAAATTCGACCTGGAGCCCGAAACAGGCGCTCGGAAGGTGTCCCGTGGCTTCCTTTGAAAACAGCCAAAAAGGGGACGCCTCAGGCCCAAAGAGCCCCTGCCAAAGACGATCCAAGCGGTTACCCGCAAACACATCGGGTGCTGGGGCAGGTGATTCCCTTGCCATCCAAATATCTTAATTGAGTATTCTTGGGCACGCATTTACAACACTTTCTGACAGGAGAGCCAATGAAACCCCACCGCTCAGAGGGGGCCCAAATGTTGATACATCCCTGCAATGGTGGCAAATTCGAAGGTGTGCAGTCCGCGCGAGCACGCTCTTGAGACGCATGTGTTCTCCAAGGCAACAGTCGACTGATGGAGATACGTCACTTGAAAAACAAGGAAGCTCCGCAAGATCTCGAAAATAAAAGTCTACCTTTTGCGGCCCTGACTTGAAGCAGACCGGAGATACAAAAGCTCAAATCGTCGCGAGATGGAAGGCTCATATATGTGTATATATATATATTCATATATATATATATATTCAGTAAAAAATAGACATAACATACAATGAACAAATGCTGAGGTGCGCACGCCCATCCTTGTGCTTCGATGTCGTTCCTACACGCGAGGCCTCTCAAGCCAAAATAACCTGCGGGAAAGCGAGTTGGCGCGCATATAACGCGTGCATGGCAACCACGGTGTGGCATGGGCCTTTTCAATCCGGGCGGCCAGGTCTGCGAGCGGGCCAAAGCCCGGGCTGTTCAAAGTGAATTGGCAAATCTTTAGCCATCGTATTCATCGAAAACTCAGGGGCATTCTTAGAGGGGGCATTGATATAAACTCTCTGAATCCCCGCCCCAGGAAGGCTTAGAACCTTACAAGGCGCTCTCTTTTTGAAAACCCTCTGTGGTGTAGGGATACACGTCCCATCGCATTTGAACAGCCAAAGCGCGGTGCAGCTGCGGCTATGTACAAACTGCTCACTGGCTCTCGGTGGGCCCGGCCAACGGGGAGTTGGTATTGCCCGTCTCCCGGCGTGCCTCGTGGCGTTCAGAGAGAAATGTGACCCGCGCGGCGGAAACTTCACCCCGAGTATGAGAGGGCTTACATTGCTTGTTCTCAAAGCTTCTCCACCCATTCTGCAAGCATGCCGCGCAGTCCCCCCCCCCCAAACAAAAAACTCCAAGGGTTTCGCCCAGCTTTAAAGGAGCATGCCGAATTCCCCCCCCCCCCCCCTTGCCGGTTTTCTCCAGATCCTTCGCCCATGTTTTCCAGGGACCTCCCAGCCGATGTCCCAAACCCCACCCCACACCCCCGCCCGGCCTGGTGCACGGGGTGCCGCCGGGCCGCCGAGGAGTAGCGCTTCATGGGCTTGCGCTTCGGCACCTCACCGGGGCTGATTCTTCGATCTTCCAGGGGTTGCGAACCCATCGGTGTGGCAGCTTCACCAATTGGTGAATCGAATAAATTGCCCATTTTTCTGGCAGTTGGCTCCGCTCCCATTCTTTTCCACCATTCTTCTGAAAAACCGGCCGCTTTTTCTGGGTGTTTGATGGTTTCCTGAAGAGAAGGATCCCTGGGAAGAATGGAAATGGAAAAATGGAAGGTACCAGTAGAAGCCCGGGCGCCGTCCTCCATCCAAAGAGGCGCCAACAAAAACCCCTGGGTCACTTTTTGACTACAATCATAGTTTCCAACCCCCCCATGGCTTAACAAGGGCTTAGTTTTTGAGGCAACATGAATAGAGCTTGTAACAAGGTAGACTTTCGCCCAGGGGCTTCCCTTTGGGGAGAATCAACCCACCCCGTTGAAGTCTACCTTCAAGTCGTCAACAAGTGGAACCCCCTGCGTGGGTCTCTTCAGCGAATAGGACCCACAGCCTTGAGATCGAAATGGAAAAGTGCTCCATCGAAAAGGATTGAACCTTCATATCGCAAAACCCCCGTGAGGTCGCAGCATCGACTCATGGGGGCTGGGGGGAGGGAGGGGGAGGGGGGAGGGAGCCCAAACAAGCCCTAGGCCTTCTTTAGGGCCTTTTTGGGCTCCCTCTCCCTCCCCTCCCTCCCTCCCTCACTCCCCACCCCCATGATAGACACACCCCACGGAAAATTCCAACATGTGTGGGGTAATCTTGGTTTCCCTTTTCCCGAATCAAACATGGGCGCCCGAAGAAACCAACACGCATGGAACCCCCATCGGAGGAATCTCCCTTGGGCTCCATAGTAACGGATTCCCCGGATGAATCAAGCCAACTAGGGGTTCCCATTCCGCTTGATATCAAATTGGGATTCCCAGCCTGTGTCACAGAAAAACACCCACTAAAACTCGCTTTCCATCCATGGACGGAGCTGATGAAAAGGACCTCAAGCGCGCACGCGGGCGTTTCCTACAGCTGGCCTTCCCCATGTTGGCGCATTTTGTCATCCCGGTTCACAGTGTAGACGCATTTACGAATCCCCATGTCCTGTCAACTGCGGGAATCTGCGAAAACCTACAAAAGTGACAGCAAAAAACCTGAAGCTCACTCAACAAATGTTCGTCTTTTTGGGCGTTTTGCCAGCTTATCCACATGCTCCAACATGTCCTGCGCCCAAGTGCAGAAACATCAGCAAATCATAGAGAAAAACCTGGGCCCGACTCTTTTTGCTAGTAGGGAATCAAGTTCGCGGTTTGGACATGAACAACTTTGGGATCCCCTTAGGGTAAACCACAACCGTCCCAAACCAAACCCCCAGTGGCCTTGGGGGGGGGGTACAACACCGTTTTGTTTTTTCTCTTTTTTTCTGGTAGTGGGTCTTAAAGGGAAGCCCCTCTTTAAAAAAGTTGAAAAAGCGATTCAGTGCACCCCGCCTTCAAACGTGGCAGCGCCGCCACAGACGAGTGTAGCGCCTCACGGGTCGAGGGGCGACCGAATTCCTTTTCCCATGGCTTAGCCACGCACCCCGAAGACAGAAACACGGAGGTATGTGTTGTCACAGGTCACAGAATGTTCATGTCCCCAAAAGAGAAGACCCAAAACATACCCCAAACATATACCAACCTACGGCTCGCAACTGGTTGTTTTTGAGTGTTTTTTTTCCTGACAAAAGCGGCGAAGAAGTGGCCTCTGGACTCAGGGGTATGTGGCCATTCCTTCCATGGCAGCTATTTGATTTCCTACCCAACTTAAGGTAAGTTTATATCTAAGTTTATATCAATCCGAAATGAACATCCAGAAAGTCACTAAGTCCTTGGACCAAGTCCTAGTGAGGCAGACTCCGCTGCAAAACACGTGGACCATCATATGGGAATATGCCCGACTTGTTTTCTCGGGGCGGGGGCGGGCCAGGGGGATCGAACTCTGCGAGGAGGGCGGGCTTTTTCAGCGAAAGATCCTCTCATGCGATTCGGGCGCAACAAGGCCCCCTGATGAAATCCGTCATTGAAGCTGTGTCCCTAAAATTGACCCTGAAGCTTATAGAGCTCCCCTAGCATGGCCAGCTTTTGTGACATGTGCGCAAGGATGTGGAAAGCCCTTTTACATGGTCACGAACCTGTGCTTGATCCTTGGAACAGGGGAATATAATTTAATGAAATTGATCTGCCAACTTGGGGTAAGGAATCACTAGGCTATAAAATGGGGCATGATGTACGACACACCTAAAATACACTCATGTTCAACGCAAAGCAAGTCTTTTTGAATTTAGCAGTCCCGAAAAGATAGGACCGCCTCTGAAGCGCGACTGATCAGGTGGAGTATCATTGGCGCAAGGCCCCTGCTCATACCATAGACCTCGCTGCATAGATCGTACACGGACTGATGCATGAAACCGCGATGCCCAGCCCTTGGTTGTGTTCGCCAGCTTCTCTTGCTCCGAAAGCCAATTCTCTCAGCACGCCTGAAATGCATTACTCTTTAGAGGTTAGCTGTCCCCCCCAAGTATCCCTGGGGAAAAGGGCGGGTTGATTGAAAGTAAAGAATGAGGCTTGAGAAGAATGAAAGAGGAATCAACGGGCAGTTCATCCGGAATGGCCCTCTGTTTATCTGGCCCCCGGTTCGAGGGCAGCCGTGCGAATCTGAAAGAGCGACGATTGGATCATATAGTGCACGAGGGGTTCCTTGGTCATACTGTGGGTGGACAAAATCCTGCACCACTTTGAAAGCGTGGTTGAAGCCGTTGTTGGTTGGTACTTGCTGTTGAATTATCGTTCCAGGGTTTCTGAACGGTGGTGCAGGAATTCGTCCATCCACAGTAGCTCTATCCCAGTACGTTCCGCAAGTCAAGGACTTGAAAAGACAAGATGCCCAACCCAACGTCGGCTCGGGACCCGACATCCCATTCGCAGGCTGCAGATCGGGAATCTCAATCAGCAACTCCCGAAAGCGGCCGATTTTTGATGTCCACCAAAGGATCCCCGACTCAAATACATCCGATTTTTGATGTCCACCAAAGGATCCCCAACTACGATACTAATTACATACCCAGCTTACCGTGAGAACCGATTACGTGCTGGCTGCCTTCTCCCCGTATCTGTGCGGTTCTTTCGAAGGGAAACCACGAAAGGAACCGCAGGTCCATGAAGACAAACACCCAGAGGTTAAAAAAAAAACGGTTTTGAATCGCCCTGAGTAGCTGACGCTGTAATTCTTTGGTGCCTGTCCACAAAACCCCCCAGCGCCACACCTTCTGCGATGCCGTGATGCTGGCGCCTCCTCCCGCTCGGAGGAGCTATGGGAGTCGCTGTTCCCGAAAGGCGAGGCGGACTCGGCGCGAAGCCGTGGGAAAAAGGGGAAAACATAGGAAGTACAGCAGAAACCCATGGGAAAAAGATGGAAAACATATGGGAAAAAACATGAAAAACATGGAAAACACAACATGGGGGGAAAAAAAAAAACATGGGAAGTAGAGCCCCAAAAAGACCGTTCTTCCAGATTTAGGTGTTTTTTTTGTTTTTTTTTGTTTGTTTTTTTTCCGGACGTTGTTTGTTCGTTTCAGGTTAAGTCCTTCTCCATGCTTTTCGGCCATCCGGCAACTTTGTATTCAAAAGGCGCTCGGGCTCCCACCAGGCCCTTGCAAGTCTTGGAGCCTCGGGGAGAGTTTTCGGGTCCTCGCTGTCTTCGGGCCCTTTGGAGAGAGGCTTGGGGAACGGGCTCTTCCCGAAGAAAGAGATGCATCTTAGTAACTTTCGAACATCCAGGGCGGAGTCTGATCTGACGCCATCCCCACCAAAAATGTTCAACTCATTCACCTAAGGGTCTAAATGGGTTGGGTGTTTTTTTCCCACTCCGGATCAATCCGAGAGGCCCTAGGAATGAGCCAGCTATCTCTGACAGATGTTTCTCGGGAAAAGACCTGCAGCTCTTGGGCAAGTTGCTTTCAGAACCCGCCAAGTAAGAGTTTCACACCCCGCGCTGCATTTGTTCGCCAAGGGGAAACATGGGAAGTCTACACAAAGTCGCCTTACCCCCATGTGGCCGTTTGGTTTGGCGGTTTGCGGTTGAAAAGGCACTGCAAATCTAACCCACCAAGTAAGGGAGTGTGGGGGGGTCCTCGCTCACTTCAGCTGGCTGCCCTGGATGCCCCTTGGCTGTGCATCGTCATCAGCTCAAATTCCAGGAAGACTGAAAAGGCTGCACCCGAGCAAAACGGCTGCATCGCCAGCATCAAGGAGACCCACATCGTCAGTGGGCAGCCTCCGTACAATATTCCGCTGCGTCATCAGCTCATCGCGGGCATGGCCAGAAAACAAATGACGTGTCCCAATCAGATTTTGAGTTGGAAAACCAACCCTCTCCAATTGAATATAGAAGGTAACTTCTGTGGAAACAAGCATGAAATGCCAGTTGTCAACATAGCCCTTATGGTTGGCTTGCCGATTATCGACCAAGTACACCCAACATGATATGAAGTACATGGTGACTAGTCCTTACCTTGATATGAATGTGAATTGTAAGTGGTTGGACCCAAAATGGTGGACATCAGATTTCGGCGTGGATATACAGGCGCACCACTTGTTGGTGGTTCCAACTCTTCCAACCCTTTCACGCCCGGGACTCTTTGCTTTCAACTGATCACTAGTGTCGGCCAGCCTGACTGAATGAAAGAGTACTACTGTGGGTGGACAAAATCCTGCACCACTTTGAAAGCATAGTTGAAGCCATTGTTGGTTGGTACTTGCAGCTGAATCATCATTCCAGGGTTTCTGAACGGTGGTGCGAAATGGATTTTGGCCATCCACAGTATGAAAGGATTCTTCTCCCTGAGCTGAAAAAGAGAGATTACCGTTACCCCGAGCCTCTACGGGGCACAGTAGCATGTCGCCACAAGCGGCCAAAGCGGCTTCCAACAAAAGGGCGTCGGATGTTGAGAAACCAGGAAAACCCTTCAAATAACACAAAAAGTGAAAGGACAGCGCGAGGGAGGCTGGGCAATGGCCCACTTTTTTTGAGATCTTGACCCCTTGGTAGACAAACCCTCCAGGCAACACCCTTTAATTGTCAACCCGGGCGACCAACCGAGCAAAAGACGTCTCTTCGGGTGCCACAGCCTGGCGGCAGCCTCTGTGCCGCAACCCGACCCAAAAAAAAACTTTTGGCCGCGGCACCCCAAGGTCCAGCTCCTTGCGCGCGCCACGCTCCTGTGAGCCAAGCCACGCCGAAGCGAATAAAGGCAACCTGAGTCACAATCAAAACCCGTATTAACAAGGTCTACCCAGAACCATGTAAAGAATTAAGAAGGCGGCCTCAGCTGCTTGTGGTTGGGATTGTCCCTTACTAACCTTCATCTACCCGGGTTTTGATTGTGGCTCACCTGCTTTTCTGACCCCAAACCTCCTTACCAGCATTCACCTCAAATTTCGCGCTTGCAAGCAAAAAACGGCGGGTTTGGGATCGCACCAAACGACCAAAAGCGGCTCGAGTCCATTGCGTCGTGTCGCAAGGGCCGAGAAGAGCGACGTAGCTTGTTGGTTGCCCTGACAATCGGTTGTTTGGTTGCAGTACTTGATTTCGTGGGGCGACGCTAACACTGGACAATGTCCAACTCAGTAACCTTTGTCATGGTGCTCGCTCGTGCCTGGATCTACCAAGATGGCTGTGGTTGAATCTGTGTGAGAACTAGAAACCACACTCTGAAGCTCAGGTTCAAAGAGAGAAGAGAACCGCCAGCATCAGTTGGCAAGCAGGTTGACATGGTAAGGGAAACCAGAACGACTCCCGCCATAGTGGTCCAAACCCCTATTTTGACTCATACCCCCATCGGCCCCTCACCCGTCCTCCCCGGACGAGACCAACGCCCGCTCGGCCCGCTCGCCGGGCCGCTCGGCGGCCTTCTCCAGCTTGAAGGTCTCCAGGGCGGAAGAGGAGGAGCTGTGCCTTGGCCGCTGGCAAGGTAGCCTCTTTCCAACAATCATGGAAGTGGACAAAGGGGTTGCCCAAAAGGAAAATGGTCTTCCAAAACCCTCCTGTCAGCTTCCATGATTGTTGGAGGGAGGCTAGCCATTTTTGCGAATTCTTCTTGGCAAAGGTCGAGATTCTCTCACCTGATGCTAGGGGCTCCAGTTCCCTGATTTGTTCCAAGGAATCATGGAGATCTGCAGGAAAAAGTTGAGCCTGGAAGAACCAGCTTTCCAAATCCCTCTTTGCCGGTGTCAGAAAGTGCATATCGAAATTCCGACTTTTTGCTTCCCGCAAACAGAAATGGTCCGTACCCGTACCGGTCGGTCACAAATACGGAACAAATGGAGCGGGACAGCCCGCTGCGCAGCTTCGCATTGTAGGGCTCCCTGGGTGAGGAATAGCCATGAACCAGAGAAGCTACTCCCACTCAGTCGGGCGAATGATTCGAAGGCCCCTTCCAAATCGATCATTGAAGGATCGGCGTACTGGTGTAGGAGAAGGGGGTGGACGGATTCAGCAAGCGAGGGTTAAGTCTGTGAAAAGTGGTCCAGAACGCACAGAGAAGGGCCGAACAAAGCCAGTACACAGAGGGCCACGGCCAGTGCGGACATTCCGGCGTACCCAGTGGGCAAAGAAACAAAGTATGCCCTGACGTAAAGCGAAAATACGGCCCCACTGTACCAAGGCATTTCCAAAGTACCGCCAATCGAGAGAAGACCACCCACAACAGGGCAACAACAGCGTGCACCTCAAAGAGCCGAAGGCCCCAAAGGGGAGAAATTCCATGGCACCTGGAACCATGCTTCAAACCTTTTGCTGAGCACCTCTCTTCCCCCAGTTGGCATGCCCAAAAAATCCTCTGCCCCCGCCTCCCCCAGTCTATCTTACTCTCCCCAAAAAAGTGGGTGAGAAAGGGCACCTAGCTGGGGGACCTATTTCCCCCAACCCCCCTCTGCCCCCGCCCCAACCCCCCCGCCCCCCCAGCCAGGCCGCCCGCGGGGCACAGTCCGACGCCGGCTGGCGGACCGCTCGAAGCGCGCCGAAGCGGCGGCCCGCGGCAGCTTGAAGCGACGCTCCTCCACCCGCGAAAGGCCGCCGTCCTCCTCCACCAAATGGATCGGGGTGGCTCAAACAGGATCAGTTACGCAGGTTTTGGTCCATGCTTCCACTTCAAGTTCCATTTTGGTACCTTTTCTTGGAGCCACAGCCAGGTAGGTACATGGCTGTGGCCCCCCACAAACATGGAAACCCACCAGGACCGGGGGGGGAGAGGGTTCGTGGACCTTTGGTGGACATCAGGGTAAGGATCTGCTGTTGAAGGGGTTGCAACTCTGAAAGTTCAAGTTCATAGCAATGGGGCATCAGGAAAGTGTGCAACCCCCAGAGATGTCCAGGGCGAAACCTGCGCACTTTACGACAATTGGAAGGTTCTGGCCCTGCGCTCCCCGGGTCCCTTCGTCCTTGACGCTCGCATCTTCGCCCAATGCCTCGGGGGCCTGGGCCTGCTCGAAATGAGGCTCAGACTCGGCTGCAAAGAGTCTCAAAATAGGGATTTGGGCCACCCAAAAAAGGGATCTCGGTCTCCCTTCGCTGTGTTCCAATGGGTTTATTTTGAGGCTACCGTGTTCATGGCTTAAACGGGCCCCTCTATTACACAACCCAAATGAGTGGGTACTAAGAAGGTCTACCCAAAACCGCTAAGGATCAAAATGGCGGATATCCGCTCCTATCTACGGTTGGGACTACTCCCTAATTAGCCTTCACTTGCCTAGGTTTTGATTGTGGCGCAAACTGGACATGGATTGCGCTGATCAAAGCTCCCAGATGTTCATTATGTTTTTGGACCCCTTCGGTCTGGAAAGGGTGCTTCGACCATGGCATGTGGGTTTGGTTCATTAGGAACCCGGCGGTCCTTCAAACAAAGCCACAAAAGGGTCCCCTCAGCTATGGGGATAATTCAACTTATGGGTTCCCTTCTGTGGAGTCTACAACTGGGCGAACATGCTGAACATGGCAACAAAAGCCATCCCCCCTTTCGCTTCATTGGGGAAGATTCAACAATTTGGGTGACTTTCATGTTTGTTGGCAAAAGGGCTAGAGAAAGCTGCCACCCACCAACGTTCTGCCCAGCCCCCTTTTTGGAAAACAGCCTTCTGAGTGGAAACGGTTGTTGTTGGTGGAAGAGGAACATCTATCTAGACGCAAAGCCCAATGCAAAAGAGGTCGGGTCATCAAAGTGAAACCCTCAAAGTTGTGAAGATCCCTCAATTTCAACCTTTTGAAACTGAAGTCAAACAAAATAAAATGAGAACCCGTCAATGTCTTTACTCTAAGGTCAGGGTGTGCCTTTGTTGTCCAGGCCAAATCTCCGAAAAGCTTGCATGGTCCAAGCCCCATCGCTCTTTGTGCAGCGGGGGACCGAAGCTTCGGCGGACAAGATTCGGGCATTCATATCCACCAACCACTTTCGAGCTTACTCCTAGGTCCTCCAGTAGAGAGGTTCGAATAAGAGTACCCTTTTTCTGTAGAGTATTTTCGTAGGGGAACCCTCCACCAACAAAAGGGTAAAAGGGCACCTAGCTGGGGGACCTAGACTCGTTTAACATTTCATGGCCAAATGAAGGCGCAGCAGCCGTTGGGGTTCTAGAGGTACCATCAGCTCCCCTCGAAAAATACGCTCCGCCTCAGCCGGAGCCGGAGGCGGCTGCCGCTGGAAGCAGCCACGGCAGACCTGGGATGTGTCAAACTTCGCGGATTTGCCTTTTCGCGTGCAACGCCCTTGGGGTTTGATATGGCTGTGGGTCAAAACTAGGTACCCAAAATGGCTTGCCCTGGCAAGTGGAAACGTAGACTAACATCTGCGGTCCAATTCCCGGTGGTTTAATTTTGACCCATACCCATATGTGCTGAAAGGAAAAGGAGTTTTGAGTGAGCGCCTTTTCTTGACTTGGCAGTTCCCCCTGGTTCTTTCGGCTGGCGGAGATGGCCAACCGAAGACCCAGGCCTTACCTTTGGAGCCAGGCCTGGTGCACCACCAGGAACATCAGTAGCAGCCGGTCCAGCCCGCCCTGGGACAGAGGCTACCGGACCAAGGTGGCAAACCCCGTCTGTGGTTTCCTAAGACGGGGTTGGAACCTTCTGGCTTTTCGGATCCCCTGGGGGGGCGCATGGGTCCCCTCCACCAGAGGTGCACCTCCGAATGAACATGGCACTCAACAGTAAAAAGGAGTTGGCTCCGTTACAACAAAAAATGCGGTGGCCCTTTGCGGGTGCCAAACACAAAAAATCCGCCGAGGGGCGGCCGTGGTTTTTTTTGTTGGGCTGGCAAGAAGCTGGCAGGTTGACACCCTTACCAAGCTCCTTCAGGGATCCACTGGCGGAATTGGATCAACAACACCGTCCCTGGCTATTGCTGCCCAAGGGAAGCGTATGCGTCGCCCACATCTGGCGGATTGAAGCTGTAGCTGAAAAACGGCACAACCGAGCAAAGCAGGCCGCACCAAGAAGGAGCTACCTACACTCCTGCACATCAACATGGAATCTGAAACAGCAGAACATCAGGACTCAGGATTAAGAAGGACCTGCCCCAGGTTTCTCACGCCCTTTGATATTCCATGCAAAGATTGGTACCCCTTCCCCCCCCCCTCCCAACTAAAAGATAATGTATGGTCGTCGGGGCCTTGTCATCAGTATCATTGAGTATCATGCTTACGTGGCGTTGAATGGGCCAGCCAAGGTCGCTGCGTCTGCTCTTTGCTTTTGGGATGTTGGTGTTTGTCTCGGTTGACTTGTTTGGGTGGCAAAAAGAGTGTCATCAAAAAGCAATACACACACACACAAACACAAACACAAACACACCACAAACACACCAACACGCCAACACACACAGACACACACAGACACACACAGACACACACAGACACACACAGACACACACAGACACACACAGACACACACAGACACACACAGACACACACAGACACACACACACAACACACACACACACACACACACACAGAGACACACACACAGACACACACACACACACAGACACACACACACAGACACACACACAGACACACACACAGACACACACACAGACACACACAGACACACACAGACACACACACACACACACACACACACACACACACACACACACACACACACACACACACACACACACACACACACACACACACACACACACACACACACAGACACACACACACACAGACACACACAGACACACACAGACACACACAGACAAACACACACACACACACACACACACACACACACACACACACACACACACACACACACACACACACACACACACCCACACCCACACCCACACCACACACCACACACCCACACCCACACCCACACCCACACCCACACCCACACCCACACCCACACCCACACCCACACCCACACCCACACCCACACCCACACCCACACCCACACCCACACCCACACCCACACCCGCACCCGCACGCACGCACGCACGCACGCACGCACGCACGCACGCACGCACACACCCACACACACACACAGACACACACAGACACACACAGACACACAGACACAAACAGACACACACACAAACACACACACAAACACACACAGACACAGACACATACACACACACACACACACACTGTGAACAGCTCCCGTAAGGAGTAAAAGAAACTTGTCGGCAGGTACGCGTCCGGGCTCCACACACACACACACACACACACACGCACGCACATGCATGCATCTGTGCGCCTTCTTGCAGTGGGCCCAGTGTGTGCCTCTCGCAACGGTCTGGTTGATGCGTTAACTCAAAGACCCGCAGTGTCCCAATGTCTGCTGGCTTGAGACACAACAAAACATGATTAAGTTGGGCCCAGTTGTAGAATGTATATGTTTATTGTTTTCTTCACTTTGAGTCACAGGTAAAATGTAAAATGTATCCTAAGTCTACTCCAGAAAAGAGAAGAATGAAGTAGCTATCCCAAGAGTCATGCACCCCTGAGGGCGTATCCCTTCATACAATCCCACATGTGGTGGCACAGGCCAAGGCGGAAGCGTGGCTGACGCCTTTCTGTCCAAGGAATCATGAACATTAAAAAAAAAAAAAAAAAAAAAAAAAAAACTCCCGACTCTCCCCATAGAACCCAAAAGGGAGTGTTGTCTAAAAGATATGTAGCTTGCGATCCATGTCAAGAGCAGTAGCCCTCAGTACGAAAGTGTCCCAGTATTCTCCTAAGGGCTCCAAAGGCAAGGCCTGACTGTTCTCAGAATCCAGTCCGCACCCTGAGGCTAAAGCTACTGGGTCCCTTTGATAAGACTTGGTTCCATTTGCAGAGGCCTTCTGGGAGCTCCTTTGTTGGTCTGAGGGAGTGTAGCATTTTCTTTGTGGATTTCAGCTTTCCCACACGGCACGCGTAGGAAAACCTGATTTTTCATGGGTCAAAAGGCCCCGGCCTGGAAGAGCACGTCCGTCCGCCGGGGTCGCTCCTCGGAGAAGTTTCCGGGACCCGGGATCTCGCCCATGAACCTCTCCTGCGGTATTGGGTGTCGTGGTTTTTTTTTGGCGCGGCGCGGGGGTTGACTTGAAAGCCAAAAGGAAACTGCCTGGTGTTGTTGTTGTTTTTCTTCTTTTGTTGGGGGGGGGGGGGGGGCTAGTGCCAAAAACTGTGACATAATATCAAAAAGAGATCCAGGGGGAACTGAAAGAGTGTGAATGATGGTATTTCAAGGCTGCGAAAACGGGGGCCCGCGTCCGTGTTCTCTGGTCGCTGGCTGCAGAAAGTCCCAGCCAGAATCAACTTCCCGCCTCCAGCCCCCACTAACCCGGGGAAGAACACCTTCCGCATCCCGAAGGCTCCTTCAACCGCTCGCGAAACCAAAAGTGCTTCTCTGAGCCCGTCAACCCAAACCTATGGGTCTCAGAATTTGGGTGTGCCACCCCAAAGCAGGGGCCACCCAAAAGGCGATTCCTCTGAACGCGGCTTTTTCGGGGGAGGGGGGGGGGGGCCTGCTGATTTGTGGGAGATGCATAGAACTTTCCGCAGACTGTCAATACTTTGGGGGGTCCAAACCTAGGTTTCAATTTGCTTCGATCATCTTCGTTTTTGTCTAGGGCAAAGATGTTCTAGTTACCAAAGGTTGGCCCAACAAAGGTCCAAGTGCACAATTGTCTGTAGCCACGGAGCAGACGTAAAAACCGGGGTTCTGAGGCCATCAGCCCCAAGGGGAAAAGAGGCTTTGGCCCCCAAACATGTGGGGTCTCTCAAAACCTCCATGGACGAAAAATCAGCCCAGGGGGGTTGTCGGGTTCCCCCCAAGTTGCGGTTTCAAGGCTCCTCCAAAGGTGGCAACTGCATTTCCGGCCGGCCGACTGCCTGAGAGAAGTTCCCGGGAATCGCGATCCCCGGGTTGGAGTATCTGTCCTGGGTCAAGTGTTGATGGCGCTTCGAAGGCAAGACGTCGGCGAGATTTGGGGGAATTGTGCATCGAAAAGATGGGGTTTGAAGGTGTTTGGAATTGGGAAACAGAAACGACTGTGTTTCGAGGTCCTTTCCGGGATAACTCACAGGGCTTTCGGATGCGTACATAAAAGCATTGAAGTGCTTTGAAGGATCCACGGAGGAGCCAGCTGTTTGGTCACCCCATCTCAAAAAATGAAGGTGGTCTTTGAAGGGAAGCTGAAAAGGACGTCAGGGTAGGGAGGCAACCAAAGGCTCCACCCGTAAGAGAGGTCATCTATGAATCGTTCTAGCTGGGTTGTTCCAACTTGGGGATCGTCTGGCACCAGGATTCAGGATTGATTTTGAAGAGCAGAGTCTGAGAGGGTTAGGACCCCCCCTCTTGCCGGAAAACTCGGCACAATCACTAGATCCCTCTTTGTCTTGTGTTGATCATCAGGGCATGATTTTGACACATTCCCACGCCGTGTTTGAGGGCAAACAACGGCAGCTGTTTGGGGGCTGCCTGCTTTGAGAATCGCACGTTGCCCTCAATCGAAGCAGCAAGTAGAAGTGTGGGAAAAGCCAACCTCTGATTAGACTCTAAACGGGGTATCCGGCAGTGAGGGGGTTCGCTATTCCGCTTTCATTAGTTGTTTAAGGAAGAAACGGGGTCTGTTTCTCCAACAATGGTACGACAAACATGCTTAAGCCAGCTAGGCCCCACCAAAAACATGTCCCAACAACCCCGGCCCGCCCCAAAAAAAACTCAGGCCTCCCTCAACAAACCAAACGTCGCAACCCCTCCCTCAAAAAACCAAACAAACTCAACCCCCCCCCCCCAAAAAAAAAAAAAAAAAGTACTAAGCCTAAACCAACCCTGAACCACCACAACCCGACTGCAGGATCTTGGAAGGCGGGGATGATAGTCCTGACCAGACCATTGTTTGGGGGGAAGGAGGGTGTCAACAAGGCTGGACTCCCTCCCCCCCAATTTTGGTCTACATATATATATATATATGTATACGTATGCATGGTTCTAAATTTGAGTAGGAAACCAGTTGGTGGACCTGAAGCCCCTAGTTGATGTCCGCCAAAGAATCCCGCCACCGACCGATCGACTCCGCGCCATCTCCGGCTCTCCCTCCCTCGCCGGGTCGCCACAGCCGAGGCCTCTAGGCGTTTCATGCGGGCGTTCTGCTCGTTGAAGAGTTGGACCACCAGCGCCAGCATGGTGTTCCTCTGGACATGCGCCAAGAAAACCCAACGGGGGGCCTGCAAGCCTGGGCTCGGGTAAAGTTTGACTTGTGGGACAAATGGAAACGAAACACTAAGCTGGGCTCAAAGGCTAAGGAACCGGATGGCCGAGAGGGAACACAATGACCGGCGTCGCGGTTTTCCTTCAACACAGGCAAACCAATCAAAGCGGGGCTGCCCAAAGGAAAAAACACATGGGACATATGGTATATGGGTATGAACTTTAATGTAGGACCCTCCGGTGGACATCATCATATAGGTTCGGATTTATATCCTCCAGCCACTCTGCCTGGGTTCCAAATTCAATTACACAGCCATAGACGGATGCGTCACATAGGGGAACCGCAAAATGGCCGGGAGCTTCCTTTAGGTCTTCCTTCCAGGCAATCTGTTGGCTACCCCTCAAAAAAAAAAAGCACGCCGTTTCAAGGGAGATCTCCGCATGAAAATCTCAAAATCCACCTTCTTGAGCTTCGCCGGAACCTCCTGAAACTCAAATCCAGTGCTTGACACCCAAGCTGCTTGCCCGACCTCCGGAGCATTTCGGACTGAAGAAAGAAGTCAAAACTCAGCGTTTCTCACCGAAACAACCCGGCCCAAAGCTTGAAAGGATCCATACAACGAGTTGAGAAAAAGCAACATCAAAACCTGCTTTACTCTCCAGCAGATTTACACGGAGCCCAAAAACTGATGCATGTCAGCTTTTGCGGGTTCACGCTTCTGGGTTTCATGTAGATTCAGAGGGGGTCAAGGCGCTTGCCCAACGCTTTATGTTTTCCCGTTCCAACCTAAAGACCTCACCCCACTGCACCTGAAATGGGGCTTTCGCGCAACGGCGCGCCCTCTTGTGGGGAGCTCACGAGTGTACATCCTGTTGGTCCCAAGTCTACGGGCAACTTCCAAAGGGTTGATTTGTTGGGATCGTGGCTCCAAGGTGAAAAGGGCCCTCCTCAAAACAAGCATTCGGGACCTTTGTTTGGTGCTTCTCAAGGACAACCAAACGGAGTATCACCATTTTGGAGGGTTCCCCTTAAAAATAAAAATAAAAAAACAGTCACACCCAAAGTGGGATTCGACTCCAAAAGGCAGATATGTTCTGAGCCAAGTGGATATGGGTCAAAATTAAACCACCAGGAATTGGATCGCAGGTTAAATCGTCCATGTTTCCATTTACCAGGGCAAGCCATTTTGCGGGTACCCAGTTTTGACAGCCGCAGCCAAGTGTCAGGCAGGAGATCACGTGCTTGGTGTGCTCCTTGAGCACCTCCTGGCTTTGCTGCATCTCCCGCAGCTCCTGGCCGGATCCGACCTCTACAAGAAAGCCACACCTTCCAACCCCCCAAACAAAAAAAGGGAAGAAGGCCCCTCACCCTCACTCCTCACCTCTCACCCCTCTCCCTCTCGCCCCTCTCGCCCCTCTCGCCCCTCTCACCCCTCTCGCCCCCACCCCACTCCATCTCCATCTACCCCAAGCACTCCACTCCCAACCCCAAGCCCCAACCACCCCACTCCACCCCACTCCATCTCTATCTATCCCACCACCACCCACCACCACCCACCACCACCCACCACCACCAACCACCAACCACCACCACCCACCACCACCCACCACCAACCACCACCACCACCACCAACCACCCACCACCACCCACCACCAACCACCACAACCCACCACCACCCACCACCACCCACCACCACCCACCACCACCAACCACCAACACCACCACCCACCACCACCCACCACCACCAACCACCAACACCACCACCCACCACCACCCACCACCAACCACCAACCACCACCACCCACCACCACCCACGACCAACCAACCACCACCACCACCACCCAACCACCACCAACCACCACCACCCACCACCACCCACCACCACCACCACTCCACCCACCACCCACCACCACCACCACCACCACCACCACCCACCACACCACCCACCACCACCAACCACCAACCACCACACCACCACCACCACCACCACCACCACCACACCACCACCACCACCACCACCACCACCACCACCACCACCACCACCCACCACCACCACCACCACCAACCACCACCACCACCACCACCACCAGCACCACCAACCACCACCACCCACCACCACCACCACCACACCCACCACCAACCACCACCACCCACCACCGCCACCACTGCACCCACCACACCACCACCACCCACCACCACCACCACCACCACCACCACCAACCACCACCACCACCACCACCACCCACCACCACCACCACCACCCACCACCACCACCACCCACCACCCACCACCACCACCACCACCACCACCACCACCTACCACCACCACCACCCACCACCACCCACCACCACCCACCACCCACCACCAAACTTTGTTACTTCGTGTTTTCTCAATCATGTTGATTCGTCGATCACTCAAAGGGTGTTGTGCAGCTCGTCGCGCTTCAGCGCCGCCAAGTTTGCTTCGAAGCAGCGTTGCACGTGCTGTAGCTGGGGCATTTTCTCGCGCACCCGCCACGACGGATCTAAAAGAAGAGCGTTGGTTGGCAGCCGCTTTGTTCTGCCAACCAACAAAACTTGCACAAGCCCGCCCAACTTCTTGCGTGCAAAATACACAACTTCGTCCCAGCTCACTGGCCAGCCCCAGTGTCGGTAGTCGCCGTGCGTTTGGGTCAGCACGAGCTCTCCTGGCGTTGCAAAACTACAACAGTCTCGGACGTCTGTCTTGAACAGCCCGCGCCTCCCAAGCTGAAGAAAACGGCGTCGAACTCGGCCCACCCTTCCACTGAGATTTTGAAAAACAAATCGCACAGCAAGACCTTTGCCGGGCGCGTAAGATCCGCAAGCCTAAGCGGAGAACGGCCCGAGCGACGAAGGAAAGGCTCGCAACGCTTAAGGCTGCGACTGCGACGGCTCCGAAGTCATGGTGCGCCAATGCAATGTTTGAACTGCGAACAGCTGCGAATAACGCAGCTTGGAAAAATGGAACCAGCGGTCGCCCTGGCTTACTGGCGTTTCTCTTTCTTCGGGTCTTGGGGTTGCCCCGGTCCCTGGCTGGTTGATTCTCAGCAGCTGCGCGGAATTGTTGAGAGCACTTTGCGGAAAAATGTGACGCTTACGGGCTTCAAAAGAAAGGGGACCGCCCGCCCGCACCAAAATTGACTGTTTATTTTGTTTGCAAACCGTTGGTCACGACGCAGGGCCAAGCTAAGGGAAAATGTGAAGCGTTCATGCGCTTCAAAAGAAAGGGGACCGCCCGCCTAAATCTTGAGCAAACCATTGGTCTCGGACTTTCAGACTCAAGTCTTTGCGCAGGGAGACAATGTGCTTCAAAAGAAAGGGACCGCCCGCCCAAATCTTGATCGACCTTCGCTTATTTGTTGCATACCATTCGTCTCGGACTTTCAGACTTAAGTCTTCGCTTGTTCTCTTCCACGAATGATTCTCTCGGAAAAAGAGCGCAGGCTCGCGCACTTTTTGCCCTCAAACACGCCGCCACTCTTCGGTGCCTCGTTGCATTCCAAAAAGACGACGAGCTCTTTCTAAGCGCGGAACATTCCCAGCCCGCCGGAAGAGCAGCCTAATTCAGACAAGTTGCAAGCTACTTCACGGTAAGAAAATCCCTGAGCGCGCGGCCGGCGGCGAATTGGCCAGCTCTACGGCCGCCAGCAGCGCCGCCTGGACCACGCTCGCCGCGCGGGACTCCGCCGTGAACTTCACGCGGACGTACGCGTGCCTTGTTACTTCAAGGAATGCGTTTAGCCTTGCCGTCGCGCCTTGCGACCAAGCTGCACTTCATGGCCGCGACGCCGGCCGTCGAAGTCCGTGATGCCGGCGACGGCTTTCCAGCCGTCGCGGCCAAAACCTTGGGCAACGCGCTGCTTGCTTGAAGCAAAAAGACCGGCCTCTAAGCTCCTCACGGATTTCGACCGCGTTCAGATGGGCGTCGGGGTTGGGCTTTTCAATTGCCTCAACCCAGCAGCCGTCTGCGGCGAGCGCCTGTTGCCTCGGGCGACACTGCGTTGCTGCGAGAAGCGCAATGCGTAAGCTTAAGGCTCGCGCAAAAAGGCTGCGCCGAAGTTCGGCCAGCGAAGCCGCCACCCACCACCAACCCACCACCACCACCCACCACCACCCACCACCACCCACCACCACCCACCACCACCCACCACCACCCACCACCACCCACCACCACCCACCACCACCCACCACCACCCACCACCACCACCCACCACCACCCACCACCCCGCACCACCACCACCACCACCCACCACCACCCACCACCCACCACCACCCACCACCCACCACCACCCACCACCACCCACCACCACGCACCACCACCCACCACCACCACCAACCACCAACCACCACCACCACCCACCACCACCCACCACCACCCACCACCACCCACCACCAACCACCAACCACCACCACCCACCACCACCCACCACCAACCACTACCAACCACCACCACCCACCACCACCACCACCAACCACCACCACCCACCACCACCCACCACCACCCACCACCACCCACCACCAACCACCACCACCCACCACCCACCACCACCCACCACCAACCACCACCACCCACCCACCACCCACCACCACCCACCACCACCCACCACCACCCACCACCAACCACCACCACCCACCACCCACCACCACCACCAACCCCCACCACCCACCACCACCCACCACCCACCACCACCCACCACCACCCACCACCACCCACCCACCACCAACCACCACCACCACCACCCACCACCAACCACTACCAACCACCACCACCCACCACCACCACCACCAACCACCACCACCCACCACCACCACCACCCACCACCACCCACCACCAACCACCACCACCCACCACCCACCACCACCCACCACCCACCACCACAACCCACCACCCACCACCAACACAATGCCACCCACCACCAACCACCACCACCCACCACCCACCACCACCCACCATCAACCACCACCACCCACCCACCACCACCCACCACCAACCACCACCACCCACCACCCACCACCACCCACCACCAACCACCACCACCCACCACCCACCACCACCCACCACCCACCACCCACCACCACCCACCACCCACCACCACCACCCACCACCATCCACCACCACCCACCACCACCCACCACCCACCACCAACCACCACCCACCACCACCCACCACCACCCACCACCAACCACCACCACCGCCCACCAACCACCACCACCCACCACCAACCACCACCACCCACCACCCACCACCACCCACCACCACCCACCACCCACCACCACCACCACCACCCACCACCACCCACCACCACCCACCACCACCCACCACCACCCACCACCACCCACCACCAACCACCACCCACCACCAACCACTACCCACCACCACCCACCACCACCACCCACCACCGCCCACCACCACCCACCACCCACCACCACCCACCACCAACCACCACCCACCACCACCACCACCCACCACCACCCACCACCACCACCCACCACCACCCACCACCAACCACCACCCACCACCACCCACCACCACAACCCACCACCACCCACCACCACCCACCACCAACCACCACCCACCACCACCCACCACCACCCACCACCAACCACCACCCACCACCACCACCACCCACCACCACCCACCACCACCAACCACCACCCACCACCACCCACCACCACCACCCACCACCACCCACCACCACCCACCACCACCCACCACCAACCACCACCCACCACCACCACCACCCACCACCACCCACCACCACCACCCACCACCACCCACCACCGACCACCACCCACCACCACCCACCACCACCCACCACCACCACCCCCCCACCACCCCACCACCACCACCACCCCACCACCACCACCACTCCACCACCCACCACCACCACCACCACCACCGCCAAACCCCCACCAACCACCACCACCAACCACCACCACCACCACCACCACCGCCCACCAACCACCACCAACCACCAACCACCACCACCACCAACCACCACCACCAACCACCACCACCACCACCACCACCACCACCACCACCACCACCACCACCACCACCACCACCACCACCACCACCAACCACCACCACCAACCACCACCACCACCAACCACCACCACCAACCACCACCACCACCAACCACCACCACCAACCACCACCACCACCAACCACCACCACCAACCACCACCACCACCACCACCACCACAACAACAACAACAACAACAACAACAACAACAACAACAAGAACAACAACAACAACAACAACAACCACCACCACCGCCACTACTACTCCTACTCCTACTCCTACTGCTGCTGCTACTGCTACTGGTATTGCCGTCATCTCTGGTCCGAGCAGCAGCATTTATGGAGACCTCATCCGGGCTCTCCTGGCCGCAGTGCAAGTCGCTGAGCCGAAGGACCCGGGCTACACAAAGGGAGCCCGAAGGAAGCTTACGCCCTTCAATGTGTTGAGACAACCCCAAAAGAACACCCAAAGGAAACCTAAACTTTGGGTATTTGTCGGTTTCACATAGTGTTTCAAGACATATGGACCAAGCTCCGTCAGGAACACCTTGAGTCGTACCCACTTGAGCCGTGCCACTGGCAACTAGCGCAAGTCCCTTCGACCCAAACGGAACCCGGTGCCCGCCCGAGAGTTCGACATGTCTCCAGGGGTTGATTCCGACCAATGCTTTCAGCCATCGTGCTTTCCCTGGGTTGTTGATGGCTTCCTGAAAAGAAGAATCCCTGGAAAGCATGGGGAAGTGTCCAGAATGTTGTTTTGAGGCGGTCCAATATGTTTTATCCAGCTTAACATTGCCCCCACAAAATGGTTTCCAGTTGGGTGGGGCAAGAAGGTGATGATTTCAATGGCCAGTATCATTTGAGCCCAATTCCAAGGACACAAACGCAACAAAAGCACCAGCTGGTCCTCGGCTTTGTATTGAAATGCAGTGAAATGCAGGATCTTCCAGATGGGTAGTTCCCTTCGGTTTCCGTTTAAAACAAAGTACTCTTCAAAAAAATACCGCTCACAGTATACCGATCTGGAGCCATACTGTGGATGGCTGAGATCCTGCACCACTTTGAAACCATGGGAAACCGGGAAATCCTCATTCTAGGGTTTCTTGGGTGGTGCGAAATGGCTCTCGTCCATCCACAGTAGTGTTCTGGGGCGTATGTTCAATTTATCTGTGGACAATGGTTTCATGGTTTCGTCCATGGAAAGATAGTATTCACAGGCAAATCATCGTTCCACGGTCTCCCAGGTGGTGCCAAATGGATTTCGTCCACAGTAGCACCGACATGTGACGATGTCTGGTCCCCGGGACCCCTCCCCGGCTCCCCTCCCGCATCAAGCTCTTGCTTTTCAACCAAACAGGGTACTAGGGTGTTCTGCCTTTGGCGTCCCCTGAAAACAACCTCAAAAGGGTTCCCCCCAAACCTTTGAACACCCAAAAGCAAAAAAAAAAAACTACAGATCATACCAGAACCACAAACCAGACCATACAAATCAACCACTTAAAACAAAAAGACGACATAGCAGAAACAGTACATCCAGTACTTGTTCCCTGGTATGAAAGTGGTTGAAGTTCAGCCGGTCCTCGAAGCTGTGCATCATCGCCAGCAGCGCCAGAGCCTCTTGCCAGCAAGTGCCCTTCCTCACGCCAGCTTACGCTGAGAAGCCAAGTGGACATGGGGAAAAAACTGATTCAATCCAACCACTAAATAGGTTCTAAAATGGGTGGTGAATTTGCCAATCCCCCAAAATGGGATCCCAAAACGGTCTTGAGCCAGCCATATATACATATATTTGGAGTCTCCTTCTGGTCATGACCCCAAATTTTGGGGTCGTTGACCCATTTTACAGGGTCATGGAGACTCCAGGTAGACCTTATTATGGATTGACTTACAAGGGAAACCCTTCCTAAAACAAAAGGAAACAGGGTGTCACTGGGCAACTGGGGAGGGGGGCGGGGGCAAAAGCATTTCTTGGGTTTGCCTTGACTTAAAAAAGGCGCAACAACTGGGAGAACTAGAAGGTCAATAGGTTGGCTTTGGATGGACCATTGAGTACAAGTAGAAATGCACCGGGGTGAAAGTGGATGGCAATATTCCCTTTCTGTCGGTAAGTTCAGGCAATGATGAAACCACCTACATTCAATTGAAGAACGATCTGTAACAAGTAGTAGACCAACCTCAAAAGCTTGGCGTTGTGATTGAACCTTAGCACAACGACCGAACTCTCAAGGATGGCTGTAGTCGTAGTCTACGACCCAGTTCAGGTTGGCTTTGGGTTCGGACTTAAACAGGGCTCCCTATGTTTCCCCTTCAAAACATCACCCCCACCAAGGGACACTCACCTTTCCTGGGCCAAAAGGACGACGCTTACAACCAACAAGAAGCGACAGACCCCTGTACAAGTCGACCCAACTTGGTAGAACTTTGGCTGCAAGCGAGTTTCTGACAGGACGAGATCGTGGAGTTGAAGCTGACCTCGTAGCGAGGCGAGGCGAGCAAAGCGGGAACGGAACCGCTCAAGGAGTTGAAGCCCATCAAAAAACCGGCAAAGAAACATGACTCACATCAGCTATCAAAAAATCCCGTTTCCCAGACCTTCAGCTGGACAAGGCTTGCCTTTGCCACACCTCCTCCAGAGGAAAAACGCCCCTCTGGAGGTCTGGGGTATTGAAAGCTAGCCACAAAACAACCATAGAAAAAGATCAAAAGGGCAGTCGCCGCATCGATTTCTGAAGCCAACCCCAGTACTCAAATGGTCGTTGCCAAGATGTGGCTAGCCACCTGGGCTGTAATCCGCTGAAATCAAGCTTAAATTCACTTGGGGGACTTGCAAGCGGGTCCTAATTTAGTACCAGTAGGGAATCCAGTCTTGATTGATTGGTTGACCTGACTAAGCCCGAAATCGAAATGTGTTCACCACTCTAAAAGCGACCTGAGTTGGGCTTGGAGCTCTTTGACTAGTTGGAGCGAATCAGAAGAGAAACACATACCCAGCAAAGGATTGGTGCGCCCGGACTGGAAAATCTTGGTGGGTATAGTTTAACGCATCACTGCTTTAGACAAAAAACATTGCTTTTGGAAAGAAGCCTGCATCCCTATGCGGGAGGAAAATCGATATTTGGGGACGAAGAAATCCCTCGATATTTTCCGGAAGGAGTAAAGATCGCCCTTGAAGGATTCGGGAATCGCGGTCAAATCAGAGTTCCCTATCAAGGTTCCTTATATAGCTCCTTTACGCATCACCCTACCCAAAGGAAACCTCCCCCCCCCCCGCAATTAACACTACCAAAGTTTTGTGCGGGGAATGTCTTGGCATCCGGGCACGATTTGGTGCCACGCCCATCGTCAGCAAGGTCTGCAAGGCATGCTGCCAGCAACCAGCCTGCAGATTCGTGCAACTCCTTCCCTCACTTAAGCGGATTAACCAATAGTCCAAACTTTGGGTTTGCCATTCTCCGTTGCTCCTTAGGGACCCAGAAATGGAAAATCAAAGCCAAAAGGCCTGTCCAAAACCAAACATATCCAAAATTAGTTGACCCCCCCCATTTCAGCGGAGACTTCCTTTGGGTCTCTCACTTGAGTAGATTGCTCAGAAGTGCAGACTGTTCATTTGACCAACAGATCCAAGTCCAAAACGCTCAATCCAGCTGCCTGGAAGTCTGGAAGTGACAAAACAAAAAAACGGCTCCCACCACCACCACATCCAGCTGTTCGGCAGTGACCTCCTGTTGCCCTAGGCCCTGGTTGGTGACGCCTGGTCGAAGCAGTGGATCAAAGCGTTGCAGCTGCCAACGCAGGGCGCCGACCTGAGCTCCAAACTCCAGCGGCGGAATTCGAAACAACTCAGCCCTTCACACATAGGTAGCTGATGGCCAATGCTAGATGGAGCACCCCCTGCTGTAGATCAACCATGGCCAATGCTGTAAAAACAGGATGTGGAAAACGGGAATCAGTGGAGGTCGACCTTTTTTGCACTTAGTTCAGCAAGGGTTCCAATGACATGCCGATGCTACGTGGAGCACACCCCCTGTAAACAAACAAATGGGAAAAAGGGCCTCACTGGAGGTCGATGTTTATGGACTTTCACAAAAGGGGGTTTCAGTCTACGCCTGGGCATTGACTTTAATGGACTTAGTTTCAGCAAGGGTTCCAGTCTACTCCTAGAAAATCACCTTGAACCTGCCCAGCTTTGGCCACTTGCGAACCTGAAAGCGGAAAAGTGCCCTTTGACCAGTTGGGTTACCAACCCCGCCGCAGGTTGACTTTTTTTGGTCTCCAAGATGCGGCATCCGGGCGGTCCACTGCATCTCCTGCCATCGCCAAGATGAGAAGAGGTACCAAAGGGCTAGAGTCAAGTTGCATTGGTACCACTGGCTCCCCGGAATCTGACAAGCATTCACCAAGAAAACCTCATCGAGCCCTTTCAATCTGCCAACATGGGGTACGGTTTTGTGACTATTGTGGATGGACAAAATCCTGCACCACCTAAGAAAGCCTGGAATGATGATTCCCTGGTAAATGCCAACAAACAAGGGTTTCAACCATGGTTTCAAAGTGGTGCGAAATGGATTTCGTCCAAGCACTGTATCACCACTTGTTGCCTGAGCTCTTAAGCAAATAGCAACCGGCCTGCAACACGCTATGAGGCTGGGGTCCGGGCAGCAAACATGTTTGTTGCAGCCCTCCACACGCTGAACATCACTCAATGACAAATACAACCCAAACATAAACTACAGAACCGACAACAACGAAAACAGACACACAGACACACACATACCACCCACACAACAGAGAAAAAAATGCCCAACAAACAACAACCACTATAATAGACACACAGTCAAAGCAAAAGAAGCAACACAACCACCAAATACACATACCCATGTCAAACCAAGGCCAAAGAACTAAAAGCACTAAATACGCTGTATACACGCTCAGTCGCACTGTTCGTCTCCTGGTGAAGGGCCATCGCCTTCTCCCACACACTTCTGCTGGATGAGATGGCCGAGATGTAGTGGGCCTGCCAAAACCCTGTGGCTCCCCCAAAACCGTTGAGCTGGAAGCCAGATGTGTTGATCTTTGTTGCGTGTTGCACAAAAGTATTCAAGGTCAAATAGAATTCGATGTGAAAAGCAAAGTCTAGCTCAAGGAAAGATGCGAGATCCACCAAGCTCAAACTGGGACTTGTTTTGGCGAGGTGCTTTCAAAACGGGACGGGTTGCCCCAAATCCGTAGCCGAATCGCCGATCGGCCAAGCACGGCACTTCCAGCCCTTGATAGGACCTGACTGGGAGCAACCACTAGTTCAACAGTTGTGCTTTGAGGATTTGCTGTAGCGTGCATATCGCCATATCCCCAAGATTCAAAGAACTTAGGTGAATTCATCCAATAGTGCTGACCACTATCAACCTCTTCCCAACTTGAAGGAAATGCCAGAGCTCACCCTCCCCAAATCAACCATATTTCGGGAGAATGGCTGCCGGGTTGCCCAATGCTTCTTCCTTCCCCTCTGGTTTTCTAGAAAGTTTGCTGGAAAGAAGGATCCCTGAACCTTGGAACTCGGAAGTTTCCCCCAGAATTCTACGTCATTCAGAGTACAGATATTCAAGCCCATGGTCCCATCCAAGCTATCACCTAACCTCCATTTGCCTAAGCGCCCTGAAGCCGCTATCTAATGTTGATAGATTCCCTTTAAAACCAACAGGGGAAAATGACAAGCACTGAGCAAAATGGAATCTACCGGGTAAATTGTAATATTTCACAACCCTGAAATAAGGTGGTTGGGCGGCTATTCCCAACATAACCCACCATTTGGGGTGAGGTCGTGTGAGGTCGTTACAATTCACCCAGAAGCTAAGGGCCCTTCCAGACCTGGTGGACGTTGGAAGGGGAGCATTGGTTTTTTGTTGCAGTTCAGTGGGGATTTCCCACTAAACCACAAGAAGCAAACATGTAAAATGTTTCCCAACAGCAACCGTGCAGAGTCGCCCCGCCTGCACCGCCTGAACCGCCGCGGCGGCTTCTGGCTGCAGCTGCTTGCGCCACATCTCCGACAGCAGCTGCAGCGTGGCGCGCCAGCGCCCGTCGCTGGCATCCGGGTCCGGGTCGCCCAGGGCGTTCAGGGCGGCGGTGTAGCAAATGCCGTTGGGCGAAAGCCTCGGCTCCCAGGGAAAAAAAACCAGACAGGAACCACCAGTTGGATGGTTCACTTCGGGGCCATTCCAACTCATTGGGTTGTTGAGTGACCCCTCTTTGTAACAAGAAAAGCCTTGAGATTTTCATCGAATCAGCCCCTTCAGCCCCTTCAGACTTCGGAGCTGGCCCACTGATGGGCGGGTCATTTGACTCGGAAGCCTTTGATTGGGATGCCCCTTGTGATCCGCTGCATCTGGCCCTTCCCATTCGATCCGCGAACTTGAGCATTGGGGAAGCCCTTGTGCGTCAGGCCCGATAAAAAGCAGGTCTCGACTCGGAAGCCTCACTAAACCTGAGTGGATGGCCCAAAAGCCCGAAGTGATTGATCCAGCCCCAAAAAGTCCAGCCCCAAAAAACGGGTGAGTTGGTAGAGAACTCAGGGGCACCCGCAGCAGATGGTCCATGAACTCGACTCTGAGTTGTAGAGAACCCCGGGGGTCGATCCACTCGATCCATGGCCTGCGGCGGGCCATGCCCCGCAGCAGCTGCAGCGCCACCTGGGCTATGAGTCAAAATTTAACCAGGAATTGGACAGGTTTTAGTCCTGGTTGCAACCCATTTGCCAGACCAGTCACCCATTTGGCTGTGGCTCAAATAAATGGAACCAAAAATGGCACCAAAAACAAAATGGGTAACCCATTGACTAAAATCCGCGTAACCCTACCTCTTTAATTTTGAGCCACACCCATTTACGCCTGAACATTGCAACTTGTAAATGGTGGTGTCCCTGTATTTCGGTATTGAAAAAGCCATTCATGTTTCAAATGGTTTCGCAAAATGGAGATCTTTTTTAAGGAGCCCTGTTCCATTTACCAGACCAGTCACCCATGGGGTCACCCCATTTTTCCCCCCCGCCCCGCCTGCCACCGCCGCGAGCGCGCCACCGGCTGCAGCGCCGCGCCGAAACTCACCACGTCCAGGGCTTCAGCGCCGTCGGCCGAAGCGCCGCCGCCGGAAGCTTCGGCGCCCGCCTCGCGGACGGCCGGCTGACGTTGGTCCCTTCCCCTGTGGTTTTTTGGAAAGTTTGCTGGAAGGGATCCCTGAACCTTGGAACTCGGAAGTGTCCAGTTTCCCCCAGAATTCCTTTTTCATTCAGAGTACAGATATTCAAGCCCATGGTCCCATCCAAGTTATCAAACCTCCATTTGCCTAAGCACCTTAAAATTCAACTATCTAATGACAGATTCCCTTCAAAACCAGGGGAAAATGAAACAAACTCTTCGGCAAATGGAAGCTAAGGGCCCTTCCAGACCTGGTGGACGTTGGAAGGGGAGCAAAATTGTTTTTTTGGCAGTGAAGTGGTTGGATTTCAACCACTAAACAACAATAAGCAAAGATGCAAGCTGTTTCCCAACAACAAACATGTACAGAGAACAATGGGCTTGCTTTTCGGAGAGAAGCCGAAGGAAAAACCAGTCCTTTTGATTCCTTTTTAGGGGGTCCACTCTGTTTTGACACGTCCACAACTTGTTTTCTTTTAAGGAGAGGGGGGAGCTGTTTGTGTGTTTTGGGGGGAAAGCACAGGAAGCCGATCATTTTAGGGGGCCACAAATCCGTGTCTCCTCTGTTGTGCTGTTTTGTTGTTCATGTGTGTTCTTTAATGGCACTTCCAGAGAAATCGAATCTATACCATGACTTCGATTCATAAAAACTAGTCCACAGATGCTAGGCCTTTGCTCGAACATGTATTATACTTGTAATTATGGACCGCTGCAAGGCGTTTGGAGGCTCTCCGTGGGCACTCTGGGAAAGAGTGCCTGGGCTTGCGCTTGGTGTGTTGGCTGTGTCGCAGCTCTTTGGGCTTCCTTCACGTTCGCTTGTAACCAAAAGCTCGCTGGGTCCACTTGTCTGGCCATAGTCGAGGAAAGGATCATTGGGAGCCATTGAGGATTTGGCCGCCAAGGGCCCGTTGCATCTGAATAGGGGCACCTTGCAAATAGGTGGGCTTTGCATTGCAATCTTGCAAAATCAACACCCACATGGGTGCCAATGGGTGCCCTCACAAAGTCAGACAAAACGTAAGGTCCAAAACAAGGGTTGTAAGATCAGGAGGGTTATCCAACCACTTCTGTGATACAAGGGAAGCCCCTCTTTACATGGGGGGGGTAGTCTTTGGGAGGCCCTTTTTGCTGTATCACAGCAGTGGATTCCATTTCCCACAGCGGTTCTATCCATTTACCAGTTAGGAGCACCTCCCACCCAATACCCTCTGTTTCTGGGGCATGATAGGCTATGACAAACCCCCTGACTAGAATCTTACCCCTTAAAACTCCAAGCCCTGGGGAAGTTGATCTTTTACAGACATATAGCCCATGTTACCCAAAAAGTTGAAAAGTTGTGTTTTTAAGAGGTAAGGAATTAATAGTCTTGTTTCCAAGACGGGCTGCGGCGTCACACCGACCCGAAGGCTCTCTCCGTGGCCCCCGGCCAAAACAGCCACGGCCATCTCCCAGCTGCGGCCTCCGAAAGACCCCGAGCGGTCCCATTCAAGCAAGGCGCCGCGTAAAAACAACAACAACAAAAGACCGACTCAAACCCTTGAACATGGTTGAAATCGCAGCCTCATATCCTTGAACATGGTTGAAATCGCAGCCTCATCTTTTGCGATGTCCCATCTTTATTGGCGCTTCGTGGGTCATTGGTTTGTGGGTCCAGGTACGCTTCGGAAGACAACCACCACCAAACATCGCGGTGTGCTTACCTTGTTGGACCATCTGGCAGCACCCCAAACTAACGTGCCCAAAGGCCCTGGAAAACAAATCTCGACCTTTTTAAACCGCGAGTCGACAACAGAAATGGGCATGAAACTTAATGGGGGACGCTTTGGTGGACATCGTTTTTTTTTTTGGGGGGGGGGGTTGTTTTGCTTTGAGCAGCAAAGCGATTTGTTCCCCTTCGTTGCGCCTCGGGCACAGGCGCTGATGGCGTTGTTGTAGGCCAACACGTCTGGGGACAGAAGTAGGCCACGCATCTGCGCGAGCCTAAGCGGTTGACCGCGGAAAGCACCGAAGAACCGCGTTGCCATGGAACCTGAGGGGTCCTGGAAAACGACCTTCCTTTCAGAGGGATTCCATGTTAGTGGAGAACGGATGTCCTAATGCACCTGGGAACAGGGAAACTCGCGACTTACCGCAATTTCCGTGGTTCAGTGGTCGAGCTTCCGGAAGATGCGGAGGGCATCCGCCGTGTTTCCTGGTTCTTTGGGGTTGTCCCCAGAGTTTGCCCCAAAGGACGGGCTGCGTCCAGGCCTTAAAAACAAAAAATGAGGGACCCCTCAGACCCCTCAACAAAGAAAAGGTACCAGCAGCCCCAACTGCTTCTTGAACAGTACTTGAGTCACAATCAACACCCGGTATCAAAATGGTCTACCCAGAACCATGTAAAGAATTAAGAAGGCGGCGGCAACAAATTTCTGGCTGAGACTGCCCCTTACCAACCTTCATCTACCCGGGTTTTGAGCACGTGGCTCACTTGGGACTTTGGACACGGGAAAAAGCAGATGTTCGGATGTCCCTGGCCAAGTCTCCGAGTTGGTAGCTATGGGCTAGAGTTCAGGATGGGTTCCGCGGGTTGCTGGGGATGTTTCCCGGGCTTCTTGTTTCTTTCTTTCTTTGCAACCCAGAGGCGATCCAAATATAGTGTTAAACCGGGGACTCCCCCATTCTGAACGCAAGGCTTGTCCTTTCCAGAAAACTACTCAAACACCCGGGAAGGTAAAGCCAGACAAGCTGTCTGAAAAGAACAAGGGTTTGGAAGAGAGTGCGGGAGAATGTAAAAGCAATCAACTCCAAACTCAAAACAAACATGTTCAACTGCAGACGACAACAGCAAGGTTACGTCCTTTCCACAGATTTGTGCCCTGTTTTTAGCATATTTTCTCAGCTTCACACTTCAAGCAGTATGGCGAACTCTGATGAGACGCCCCGGCGCTGATGTTTTTGGTCGATTGAAAATGTTGGTCGTGTCCCCAGAACCAGTGGCCAGCACCCCATGTGGTCGATGGAGGGGAGCCCCGTCCAAACAACGGGGAACCCCCTCAAAAACAGGGAAACTCTCTTCAAACAACAATCAAACAAGGCAGCACTGTCTGGGGCAGAAGAGGATTGAGCTGACGACACTGTACCGACAGCTTGTTGCATGGGGGCTTCTGGCAGTTTGCGCCAGCAAGGGGCCCATCAACTTGATCACTGAGCGGGGGTGTATAGCCTCACGCTCCAAGAGCATGCCATGGCATGCCTGAAAACGCGCGAAATCGCCCCTCAAAAATGCAAAATATATTGCAAGGCGCCTTTTGCACCTGTGCAATCCGGCAATCCGGTGTGCAAGACTTTTTTACATGTCACCAGCGCATGGTTTTGGCGCGCCGCTTACTTTTCACAAACAATGACTTCACCTCCAAAAACGTGCCCTTCACCAACAGCTGGCGTATCACCGGCTCGGTGTCCCGCTGACTCCTTCGACTCGCACCGGGTTTCAAGGTGGCAAATGGTGCCTCCTTGAGCTCGGGCGCCGTGGTGCCGCCATTGGCACGCCGGTAGGCCGCTTTCTGCAAACCAAAGGCACTGAAGACCTCCCGGCGAAGTTTCTGCCACTCGTCCCGGCGCACGGCACACTGATATGACCTAGACTCAGGTTGCAAAGCTTGCATTTTGCAGCCTCCTACTAACAACGAACAGAACCAACAAAACAACAATAAGGACAGAAATGCCAACAACAGTGAAGTGACGCCAAGGCTTGTCCATCTATGGTATCAAAAAAGCGAGCACTGTGGCCGGCTGCCAGACGATCCAGGAAGAGTTGCATGTACTCCGCAGCGCGGAACTTGCTCGCTTGCACCTCATAACGAGTCCAGGAACTGCGGCCTCCGCCATCCAGCGACAAGGTCACATCCGGCTCCTCTGGACTGAGGTGGGGAAGCATGGGCGGTCCACGCCTGAAGTGGCTCAGGCTGAGAATCACGTAAAACTCTCGGTCCAGCCTGCGGAGCTCTTTAATGCCAGGACGATTGAAGTTCTGATGCACCACACGGTTCAGGCTTGTGATCACACATTCCAAACATTCCTGAGCTCAGTCCAAGTGTGCCCAAAGACGGTTTGTTTGCTCCTCTGCATGGGTAGGGGGAAACATCCTGCAGCGAGTTGTTTTTGATTCTTTTTTCCCCCGCTGCATGCTTCGTGGGGAACCATCCTGCAGCCAACCACTCTAGCCGAAAAACAAATCAAAGTCCGAGCTTCCGGTACCCAGCGGGCGGTGGCCAGGATCGGGGTGTGAAAAGCATAGGCCACGCGGAAGCTGCTCTTTCCATGTGGCCTGGACGCCAAGATCGCCTGGTGCAATCCGCTGGTGTCGACACCCGCCAAGGTGCAATCGCCCGGCCTCAGGGGCGAAGCCTCAGACCCGAGCAAAATGGTCACCCCATATCAACCCCAGTTTAAGAGGGGGTGTCCCTGGGTTCAGTGGGGAAAACCACCATATTGATAAACTGTGTGTGCATGTTCGCGTGTAGTTTTGTTTTTTCCCCCGAGGAACCTCAAAACGGAATTCGGTGCTCCTGGTGGCTTCCATTTCAATCCGCCAACAACGGGTACCAACTCCAAGAACGACACCCTCAGGTGTCCTTTCCAAGAGGCTATCCTCAAACGCGCGTGGGAATCCGGTCCGGTGAACCAAGTGGCCCCGAACCGGCACTCGGGGGGTTCCCAGGTTTTTCACCCCTGAAAAACCATGGGAGCTCTTTGGTAAGCCAAGGACAGGATTAAGGATTGCCTTGCCCAGCCTACTGCGCCAGATTCCGACCCCAGCAAAAAGCCATCTTCCACTGGTTTACAGGGAAAGTAAGGGGTCACTCAAACGGAACCTGTGCAAAACAGGCGTTTCGTCCGGCAACGTGACTCCAATTCCCGCAGCAATTAAGTAACCAACGGTTTCCCACCCTTCCAAAACCCAACTGAACCTTCGAAAGGCGTGCGCGAAGGCACGGCTTGGATCCCCGGAGCCGAGCCTTGGGAAGTTCCGTCGCAGCTGGTTCCGGGCCAGCAGGGGCTCGTTGCTCTCCCGGAAGTTGCCTCACCCCAAGTGCCCAGCTTCAAAGGTGAATCGATTTCTAAGGGACATGGCTCACAACTGAGTAACTGGGGAACCAGTAACTGGAAACCACCTTCCCCCCCGCCTTTGAGCAAAAGGTCGTTGGACCTAAGAGTAACTAGGAGGGAGGGGGTTATTCATCATGGGTCAACACGTTCCTCTTCAGCCCCCCCGCTGCGAGCAACAGATCGAGTCTTTTGGTAGCATTGAAAGGGCTCCAGTGCATTGTGAGGATGTATCCCCCTAAGTACATCCGTAGGTAACAAGGGACCCTCTGGGGGTAGATTTTCAAGGGACAACCCATCTAAACAAAGGAGAAACTCACTTCTTGCTAGGTCCTCCAGTAGAGAGGTTAGAATAAGGGTACCCTTTTTCCGTAGTCTACTTTAAAAAGGAACCTTCCCCAAAAAAACGGGGTAACAGGGCACTACTGCGGGACCTAGCTTGGGCGGATTGCGAAAGTTGAAAGTCCAGTACTTTAGTAGGGGAACCCCCCCCAAAAAAAAACATAAAAAGTAAAAGGGCACCTAGCTGGGGGACCTAGTCCAGGACATCGGGTGCTGAAGGCGCAGCCATGATACAGAAGAGCGGCCTGACGGGATCCCCAAAGAGCGCCACGAAGAGGCTGATGGCCGCCGCCACCTGCTGCCCTTGCTCTGAGTCCTGCGGAAAAACACAAAACAGAATTATTCTGGCAAGTGACCCCATTCACTCTTGATATTCAAATTTTGCACCGTGCAGCCAGAGCGATCCGGCGAGCCCACAGTCCGCAGAGGGTGCGCCACCCCGCCATGTCCGGAAGTCGCACGGCACTGCGGCCCTCGAAAGACGCCAATAGGTCGGGCACGCGCTTTGCGAAAGTCTGTCTGCCCAGTCGGAACGCACATGAACATCCCGCAAGGAAACCTTGTAACTTTGTTCGAAGTGGTTACCATGGATTCCACAAAAGTTTCCCTTGTGAGGACATGTGATGGGGAACCTCCTGAAACCACCGACAAAAAGGACACAAAAGTGTGACCCCTGAAAAAAGAGAGTTCCAATTCAGGCACAAGAACCCTTCATAGCCTAATAGGTAAACAAGACAGAATCCAAGGCAAAGCGTAGCTGTCCTTCCTCTCACAGCCTGCAACATCTACCTCTCGCTTGTCAAGGCTGCTTAGGAAGCAATCACCTGGGGCCAGATGTTGCTGCAGCTGCGTGCCCTGTGGGAGCCCGAAGATGTTTTCGCAGTTGTACAAGGCCCGAACTTCGGGTCTTATCATCAAGCCGGCGCCGATCTCTTCACCCTCCACGTGGAGATGGTCCCCGTGTATTCGCACCAAATGCCCGCCCCAAGGGCATGGGCGATGAGAGATGCACCCGTAGTGGGTCTGCAGCTCTACCTTCCAGCCATCATCTGAGAATAGCTCAGCCGCTAGGTCAAACCACTTCTCGACCATCCACTCGTCGACCATGGCTGAGGCATGAAACAAGGCGCGCACAAAGTAGTGATGGCAATCTGAGAGTATCAAAACGATTGGCGGACATGAATCCCAATGTTTTACTTTTGCTGATTCGCGCAGGGTCCTCGGTTGAAAATCATATCATTATGGTGCTTGCGGACGTGGGCGACCAGAAGTTGAGAAGCTCGGCAAGTTGCCCAATTCCAAAGCAACTTCTTGGGTTAAGGCAACATTGATGCCCCAACTCAACCTCCAGCCCATTCGGGAAAATCATGTGCCAGCCCCGGATCGCTCTAAGTCCGCGGCCCTCACAAGAGCAGTACAGGACTCAACCCCGAAAAGGCGCCTATGTGCATTGGTAGTTAGCGCTTTTCGAGGTTGGTTTAGAGGTTGAAACCAAAGAGAGGCCCAAGCACAAGTCCAGGTTCCCTATGAGACGCACCCATGTCAAGCTCTTCAATAGAAGTTTTAGCCCGCCCTCCGGGAACCCAAACCCCGTGATCAGCTAGATGACCACCGCTACCAACCCCAAAAAAGACCAGTGCAAGCGCCTATCTTAGCCAAGCTTTACACCCAGTGACAACTGAGCGAAAGCACAAGGGGCCAGCGACATCTTCAAAGGTCAGTACCCTGTCTCCCTCTACCCTTTAGAACTTGGGAACTCTTCCCTATGAAAAGCAAAAGCGGCCAGTCCCCTGTTTGAGAAAACCCTTAACTGGGCTGCCCTCAGATCCCCGGCTAACAGTGTTTAACTTTTAGTGGGTTAAATGGAAATCCAACCGCTAAACAGCGGTAGAAACCGGATGGCTGGGAGCCACTGAGTTAAACCAAGTGATCTATGAGAATGCTCGTGAAGATGAGGATGCTCTTGAGGATGCCCCATAAGTTGTTGCCAATGAGGATGCTGCTGAAAAGTGGAATAGCTTGAATGCTGACTGAGAAATAAACAGCAAGTTAAATAAAAATCCTTAGATTATACACCTGACCATTGCCTTGTAAATGGTGGTTTCCCTTTATTTTGGTGTTGAAAAAGCAACATGTTTCAAATGGTTGCAAAATGTAGATCTTTTGAGCCCTGTGAAATCCAGGCGCAAGTCCACCGCCAGCTGCCAGCACCCGTTGGCGTCGCACACGGAAATCAGGCTGCCGAAATGCACCGCGTTGGTCTCCACACCTCGGACGAACCACCCGAAAACCCCGCGGGGTTCCCGGTGACCCTGAATTCAGCCACCCGAGGCACCCCAAAACAGACCCGTAGTTGTTCTCCCCTACTTGGGTGTTCGGCCAAGTTAGTAAGTGGTTGGCCGCCTGGGCTAAAATCCACTTATAATGGGGTTAACCCAGTTAAAATAGAAAGGGGAAGCACAGGCAGCCCTGATCAATTTAACCTGCGCCTCACCTGACGCAACCTTGTTGGTTCTCAGCAGGGTTCCTGAGGCAATGATCCCCTTGTGCAGCTGATCGGCGAGTGCCCCGTTCTAATGAAAGTAGAGGCATTTGACACAGCCACCCCGAAAAGGGAAGACGGCTATGAGCAACAGCCTCTGCGTTTTAGGCAAAAGCTCCCAGGGCCATGCACTAGATATATGTACACACCTGGAAAACAACCCAAAAAGAACTCGTTTCCCAACCAAAAACCGCTCCCAAATCAGTGAACATGGCCGCAAAAGAAGTTTTGTTTTGTCCAACGGAAGATGGTTCTCAGCAAGGAAGCAAAAGGGTTTTGGGAAGGGCCTTATCCTCTTAACCAAAACTGCAAGGAAAATCCGACAGGGTCATTCCCTCGTTCCCTGAGAATCAGCAATTTCAACAAGGGCCGTAGATTAAGAATGGGGTTGTACCATAAGGGGTGCTCTTAAGAGGCAAACCAAACTACCTCGTGAACGTAGGACTGTGATGGGATTATAAAATGTTGCCTAAACATACATTCCATATTTGCCGATGTTAAGTTAGCTACTAATCAGCCCCTTATGTGTATACATATATATATATAACATATATTCAGTCTGGAAGGAGCCATGGCGAATTGGCCCCTTATAGCCACATAGTCAGCCTCTATATTAGTAACAATGGAGTTCTAACCTTGGACCAGTCTGGAGAATCATACCTCGAGGAAATCCCACTTGATTCGATTCCCACTGAAAAGGAAGTTGTATGGTGCTCTGGATGAATCCAAAGACAACATTAATCACTTGATTGCTGTCTTTCTTCTGGGAGTAAAAACAGGGGGAGACAAATTTATCATGGATCAACACTGGAGGGTTGCTCTTGCCCCCTGTGCAAAAGGTCTTGCCTGTTTTGTAGGTTTGGTGGGAAAGCCATCGGCCTCCAACAGACGTGATCCCCTCAAAATGATCGAAAAACCTTTTGGCTTCCCTTCATGACCACCCGAACACATTTTTATGCAGTGCCTTGGATCCGACCTCTGAAAACACCCAAACTTCCCCCAAACATCACTCCTTTCTTGCCGGAGAACCCTTAAAACTCAATCCTTTGGTTTCCCTTGACTGGCAACCCTTGAATGGACCCCCCCTTCGGTTTCCCCTTTGCAACCCCCAAAAAAAGGGGGTAGCAGCGCCAAAACCGCCAACCCCCAAAAATAGTTTTTTTTCTGTGCTTTCCCCTTTGCAACCCCACCGCCCCCCAAAAACCACCCCGGAAAAACCGATCCCCGCAAGTCGCCACCCCAAAAACCGCCCCCGAAAAACCGCCCCCCAAAAACCGGAACCCAAAACCCGCCCCCCAAAAACCGCGCCCCAAACCCCGCGGCCCCCGCTCCGCCCCCGCTCCGCCGCGCCGCGGGCCGCCCGCAGCTTCTCGAAGCTCTTGGCGGCCGCGGAGGGCCCGGCGCGCCGCGCCGCGGCGCGCAGGGCCCCGGTGAGGCGCCGGGGGTCCCGGCGGAAGTTGGCCTCGGGGTGGAAAGCCGCGAGGCGAAAGGCGAACGGGGTGAGGGACATATTCAGCGCAGGGGAGTTGGTGTTGTTTTTTTGGTTTTGGGTATAGTTGTCGGTTTTAGTGTTTCTTATTTTTGTTGCGGGGTGTTTTGCTTCTTTTGGGGGGGGGGCTTTAGGGTTTAGGGTTTTGGGGGTTAGTTACAATCTTGCCTTACGGATAAAACCTAAAGACTCACTGGATGTCAGGGATGCGCTCCTTGCCCTTTTCTGTGGGCTCCTCCTCAAAGAAGGCGGGGGGCTCACAAGAACCCGAGGGCTGCCACCATCCCAAACCACCCTGAGGGGAAAACCAGGGGTTTACACATTGGCTATTGAAGGGGCGATCGGGTACTTAGTAAGTGGGCAAAAAAACACATGGCGAGATAACCCACTGAACAAAGACTTACAACCATGGCTTTGCTGGCTTATAACCATGGGTATTTCGCACTTGCTAAGTATCCGATCGCCCCTTAAAGTAGTGGTTGCATATTCCATTGACCCCAACAAAACCCCCGGCCTTGAGGGGAAGGGTAGGTCCATCAGTGCCAGTTTGCAAGTCTCCGGAGAACGGAACCAATGGAAATCTCGGGGCAGGGGGGGGGGGGGCACCTCCCCCAATTCCATGTTTCAGCTCGAACTGCCACGGCCAGGTTCGGCCAAATTGATAAGTTGTTGGCAGCCTCAGCTATAAGCTGCTTACAAGTCCCCCCCCAAGTGGAGTTAGCCTTGTTAATCGTGGGTTGTAACACAGGTGGTTAACCACTTACTAGCTTGGGTGAACGGAAACCCGTAAACAAGCTGGTTGAAACCAAACTCTTGACATGGGAAGCTAAGTTGCACTCCGAAAGAGCGCAACTTAGACTCCACGTTCCTCATTCCAAAAAAAAATGTCTGAAGGCAATGTCTGCCTAACAAGGGAACAATCTCATTTTCACAAAGATGCTCAAGGTCCCAGAAAGCAACTGATTTTTACCCGCGGTTGTAAAGACATTTCCTCACTTCGTGAGTGTATTGGTCTGAAAATGTCTGAACTTCTTCTTTACCACTATGGTCCAAACCCAAAAAGTCTCAAGTCCAACTCAGGGAGCGAGTTTCTAATGGACCCCCAAAGAAAGATCGCCAGAGCTTGAGACGCGTCGTGAGGCCCTCTCTGGGTCCTTTGGCACCCTAAGACAAGTCTCCAACAGGGATCCTTACATTATACACCTACACATTGCCTTGTAAAATGGTGGTTTCCCTTTATTTTGGTGTTGAAAAAGCTACATGTTTCAAATGGTTGCAAAATGTATCTTTTAAGGAGCCCTGTCCAAGCTACCCTGTTTGGCTTTTGTTGAATGAAAGGGGGAACAAAAACGTGGGGGGTCCCTATTCCACACATCCAAGTCATGTCCTCAGCTGAAGACGAGGCACAATGGCCTCATCGTAGCCGTCCCGCGGCGTAAGAAACTCCAGTTCTGGACTGGCGACAGCTCATGGGAACCCATCAGTCCCAGATGCTCCTCCCAAAAAGTATAAAGTCCAGGATGTCAGGGAGTGTTACCCATTAATTGCTGGGTCCATCAAAGCGACAGCCTCAGCGTTACCCTCTGAAGGGTGGCTAAAGAGGGAACCGGAACCAAGATCGGGGCAAGCTACTACTGCCCGAAGGACCTGCACGGACACAACATGCCAACCTTTTCGACCCTTGACTATTCACAAACCGGGAAACAAAAAGAGAAACACACAAAAACAACAAACGTATCCCATTGAGGAATCTGCATGGGTGAGCTTGGTTCGCCCCCGAATCGGTGAGCTCCTAAGACCTCAAGGGATGCGGATCTGAGGCTCCGTATTTTCCAGTGACAGTTTTCTTGAGAGGCCTTCTGACTAGTGTCATTGTTGCAAGGATCATGGGCAGCCTAAGGGAAGCTGAAGCTCACTTCCGGGTTCCCCAATTTTGAGACACACCCGGCGGACAACTGGGCACAAGAAACCTGGGGCACGAGCTAGATTTCCCTCAGCTTTTTACATGGGAGTCATCATCCCAGGGTTTCTTGGACGATGCAGAATGATGTGCCTTTACAGCAGGTCCCAGTTGGTCTCCCAATCCTTTTGCACATGTTCCCTCACGGGCAGCACTCCCTAGAATCGGTGGTGAAATGGTCCGTGGGGTAAACAAGCAACGTGGCAAAGAATCTTTACCTTTGTGTATATGTGAGCCATCTCGGACAGAGGCACAGCCTGTCGTCATTTTGCGGCGGGCAAAAACGGCACGCCTTCATTGCCAGTCGTGTCAAAAAGAAAAAATAGAAAGAGCTTCCAAAAAAAACGCAAAAACGGGTGGGAGGAGGAGAGGGACTGCACGCATCTTCCCACATGGTCGTCGGCCGACGCCTTTGCTGAGAACAAACTGCCACAACTCCAAGAAGAATCCTGAAAACTTAGGGCTAGTCCGTAGGGTGGCAGAATGGTTCCTAGAACCCATCAATCAGAACTCCTAAGGTCTAGGTGCCCCCAACTGTTGTAAGTTATAACTTTGTGACAACCAACACTTTGGTCAGTCGCCCAGTGACCCTAGAAGGCATCCCTCTACGGTGTTGGCGAACTTTCTTCTTAGCCATCTTGATAAACCACACAAAAGGGACTTGAAGAGTGCCACTGGAAGGCAGTGGGACAGCCCTCTCTACAAGGGCTGACCTCTGGTTCTAAGGTTGTGAAGGTCAACGCAGGCCCTCGCAGAAGATGACCCTAGGCGTCTCATTGGCCAAGGTGTTTGGACGGGCTCAGGAGCTGGGCAAGGGGAGAAATCCTCCAAAGCGGACAAGGAAGGAGGCCCTGGTATCACGCTGTTCCACAGCAGCGTGGTCCGAAAATGGGCTGCTCAATTAGAGCCGGCATACCTTCTTCTGCCAAAATGTGTCAACTGTGCCCCTTCCTCTTGCGTGGTGAAACAAAGTAAAGGGAACTCCAAGATCCATGCCGCCCACCTAATTACCATGTAGTCTGACTGAGTTCACTGCGTTTGGGCCTGGACTTCAGCATGGGTGACCCGTTGAACCCGATGCCACCCACACATGATTGTCCTTTGGTCGTGTGGATCTGTTCAGGGTCTCCAGCACTGCAAACAGTATATAAGCTCAAAGTCTGCCAACAAAGTTAGTGGGTAGAGTGGGGTGCCTGTTTGTGAGGGTGCCTTCTTTTTGGTTGGCTTCAACAGGGAAAGCAAAGGGAATCCATTCACTTGGGCTTCCATCATTCAGAGACCCACCCTCAGTAGACTTCGGCGGTCGACACGGGCCAGGCCTCTGCTTCATTGCACATGTGAATTCTGCTTGGGCCAAGTGCTACCGAGCAAACCAGCAAATAAGCAAACAAGCAAATTCCTGCTTGCCTCCTCCAAGCATCTGGCCATGTGTCAAACAGGGGGACCTCAAAAGTGTGCTCCAAGCTTTCATTTCCCGTAAAAAAGAAGAAGAAACAAGTACAAACGTTCCAATCCCCCCCCACAAGGAAAGGTTCGGAAGGAGCCTTCTTAGAAGGAATTCTGATCAAAGAGATCTCTCAACCATTCTGTCAGGCCCCTCCTTTTGTTGAGGCATTTCCGTGAGTCCCTCCCATGAAGGGGGTGCTTTTTTGTCCCAAAATTGTGGCTTTCCGTTTGGTGTTCTTTTGATTTCCACCGAAACAAGATACCAACTCCGCAAAAAGACACACCCAAATAAACCATCCACACTGCCAGCCATTTTGACGAAAACTCTGGGCTCGCAAACCAGCAAGCGGGTGCTTGGTTAATCCTCAGCATCCATTCTAGGGTCCCTATTGGGTGACCCTGCATGGGTTCTTACAAATGGGTTCTAGGGTGCTACACACATGATTCCCCTTTGGTGCAAGCTAGAACCCGTTTCTTGTAACCCATTCTAGGGCCTTCGAACCTACATTTCGCCTCACTCTGGACAAAATCAGGAACTCAGGAAGTGAGTGATATCTACAAAAATGAGTTTCATCACACAGGATTCTATATTTTGCCCATATGTCCAAGTATCGCGAAGCAAGTGCCCTGAACAGGCTAATCTTTCTCAGAGAGACATGGCTAAGTTCAATCATGATCTATTTCAGAGAGTCCTTAGTAGGATCCTCCTTCTTAAAATCTGGCTGGAGGGTTCCAGCAAATCTGCCTGCAAATTGGGCTTCAACGTGTTTGGCAAAATGCAGGGACCAAAAGTGGGACCACAAGGGTTGTGCAGAAGAACCCACGGACTCAGTCGCCCAAAGGACGTAAAAGGCGCTCACCTTTTGGGACCATGACTACAAATGGGAAGACGAAAAGGGCAAACGAAAAGGTCAGATCAGGTTCATTCGCTTTGGGCGGGTGAGTTGCCCAAAACAAGTCTGGCCTTCCCAAAAAGTGTAAAGTTCAGGGCACCTGAGAACCCCATCATGGCAACCAACTTGTAAAATGTTTCACTGTGCAGCTGGGTATGTGTCAAAATGGGCATCTGGTCTTCAAAGGCTTGGTGTCCCAGGATCCCCATCTCACTTCCTGACTGGACTGGCTAGAAAAAGCCTGAACTTTCTAATTAGCACTAGAATGGTCTAAACCCAAAAGTGTCTCTATCCACGAACTCAGGAAATGAGCTACTGAACCCCTGTTTGTTCATATGGGGGGGGGGTTCCCATTCATATGGAGGCAACATTTTTTTAGTAGCACAAAAACCCAAATGGCCTATACACGCCTTTGGCACAAAATGTTGACCCCATTGCAAACAACTCAGTTTAAAAAAAAGGTACCTCCAAAAGTGGTCTGATTCCACACATTCCAGCCAGGGAAAGCAACGCCCTATGGGCTCAACATGACCAAGGGGTACCTCATATGGGTGTGGCTTTTTGGTCAGGTTGGACACCCAAAATCATGGGTTGGCATGATGCCAAGCGCTTGGCGTCCCAAGCTCCCCATCCAAACGGATTCCTCAAGCGCTCGGATTCCGCCTGCAGGCGGAGCTGGAGCTGCAGGCCCTCAAGCCCCGCCGCCGCGAACTTGGGACTGGCCAATCGAGGCAAAGGGCTTCAGACCACACCCCGCTGGAGGCAACAGCCACCGAAAAGTAATTTGGTACCACCCTTGGGGAACTTTTTGGGGGGAGCCTTATACGGGAACCTTATACACCCCCTCCCCATTTTTGTACAACCCCCATATACAATTGCCTTATAGGGGAACCTTAAACGGGCTTGGTTGCCTGTTGTTTTCCCCTGAAAAACGAACTGAAAGGGGGGTTCCCAGAGATCAACTTAGACCAGAAAGTCCGGGCAGGGCTCGGTTCAGCTAAACACTAGGTCATCAACTGCCCCTTCCCTGCAAACACCCCCCACCTCCCCAGACACACCAAACAATAATAAACAATAAAGTAATCAAATCAAAGTCAATAAGTTTCGGGCGCTCAAACTAGTTCAACCTACTAAGTAAGGTTTCAACAAGCCACCAAGCTATCTAAAAGATTCTTCATGTGGCAAGTTTTGGCTATCCCCATACATGGGGGGGGCTCTTTTTTTTGGGACTCCCCCCCCCCCCCAGGATGATAGTTTTCTTGTTGGTTTCCCGCTCAAACACAAAACTTGCTGGAGCGATAAGTAGGGAATGAGGGAATGAACCCGGGGAATCCCTTTGAGGAAACCACCAGTTGGATGGTTTTTTGGGGGTCATTCCATTTCTTGTTCCCTGCTGAGCACCAGCAACAAAGGGTAGCCCTGACTTCTGTTTTCAAGAACCCAGCCCTAAGAATAGCCCTAAAAAAACCACACACTGTCTCATGGACATGGAACATGAGGGTCAAAGCACGAAGCTCCCTCTGCGTCTTTCGGATGGGTTTCGATTTGATGGCTTGCGGCAACGCACCAAAACCAGGCGCAAACCGGAAACAATACAAACAACATCTTCAAACAAAACACCAGCCCCAAAACTTGACACCAGCCATCCCAAAGCCACCCAAGTTTACCCAAGTTGAGCCCTAAACTAAGCCAAACAACAATGAAAGCCAAGTGGCGGTGGCCCCAAACGAGCAACAAACAGCCAGGACAAAGCTCTAAAAAAGTGCCGCACAACGCAGCATGCGGCTCAGACCTGCCTTGCTGTGACAAATGAGGGGGAGACTGAGCCAAGTGATGCTAGGGATGTTGACCCCATGCCACTCTGCCAACCCAACCAACCCAACCAACCCCCCCCAACCCGACCAATTCGACCGACCCCGACCAACCCGACCAACCCGACCAACCCGACCAACCCGACCAACCCGACCAACCCGACCAACCCGAGCAACCCGAACAACCCGAACAACCCGACCAGCCAGCCAACCAGCCAACCAGCCAGCCAACCAACCAACCAACCATCCGCCTGAGCCACTCCTATGCAGAAGCCATTGCTAGTAAAACAACAAACAGCATCTCCCCACCAAAAGAACCCCCAAAAGGACACCTCCCCCCTCAAACAAAAGACAAAACAAAAAATACAAACAACAACAACCTTAAAGATCCCTTTTGAATATTGGCCCCAATGCGAAAAGCATCCAAGCATCCCAATGCTGGGTCGGTTTTTCGAGAGCCTGATGACGTCCAACTTCCCGTGGTTCTGCAGAGTCGGCACATCCACCTGGCGCCAATCGCGGCGAGCGATTCGAATTTCGATTCGCGGCGAGTCGAATCGACCGTGATTCGAAAAGCTCCGGGAGTCCGCCTCACTTTCTGATAGAAATGGCTGTGGCTCAAAAAGATGTACCCAAATGGAATCCTGGGTAAGTGGAACCAAAGGCCAAAACCTGCGTAACCTCAGCTCTTCAATTTTGAGCCTCACCCAAATGCCAACAAGTATAAACCTTGTCTCATTTACGGAGTGGGTTGGCAAAACCGAGCCTGAGCTTCTTCTTTGGTCCCAGGAAGTTTCAATTCCATGAACTCCTGGAGTGGGTGTTGTTTGCCACCAGAAGGCCCTCAACACTTCGATCATCATGACTATGGTCCGCAATCATTGCATTGCTTTAAACAGATTCACATGATAATATGGTTCATAATGTTCAATCTTCAGATTTTCATGGAATCCAAACAACATGTGTTTAGAGGAACTTTCCTTCCGGAGGACGCAAACACTCTAAACCATGGGGGTTTCACAGAAAAATCTGCGGTTCAACAGAAAAAATGGAAACCTCTGCGGTCTCGAAAGGTCCATTTGGAGCCCTGAGCAAAAAGTACTTTAGGCTTTCTGTTGGTTTCCGTTCAGCGGGCAAAAGGGGGTTGCTGGTGCAAACTTGTTTTTGCCATTCACACCAATCGGTATGTCAAGAACCTTCATCATGGGCGAGCTCGTGTTATCCCTAGGCGAAAACACTACAATTCGAGCGCTTTCGTTGTTACGGGGCAAAGCCAAGCATGTAGTCAACACGGGCCCCGCTTCTGCCCGGCAAAGCTGCTTTTAGGACAGGATGGAAAAGGACCCAGTTTCATGGTTGTCCTTTTGCCGAAGCCTTCTTGAGACAAAGATTGGCATAAATTCCTTGAAAAGGCACCCATGATGACTTGAAGTGCACTTATTCCATGTTTGGATTACGTACCCTTGACCCCAAGAACTGGTTCCTGGTGGTGGTCCGTTTAGCTTGGAGTTTGCTCAGAACAAACCGGCCGTGGCGCGCCATGCACCAAGGCTTGTAGAACCATATTGGCAGAAGAGCGGTCCATGACCCCTTATTTGAATCCATACATTCTGATATGAGGTTGTCTTAGGAGGACAACCCTGCTCTAGAAAGGAGCAACCCAACCTTGCAATAGACGTGAACACCTCAAGCCCTCGCTTGCTGTACCCAGACCTCTAGTGGCTTTGGCAGTCTTAGGCAGCTTCTTTTGTTAGTTGATTCTACGGGGGGACCGGAACCCCTGCCCAAAAAAGTTGAAGACAAGCTGCAACAGTGGCACAGTTGCCCAGAAACTCTTGTAGAACAAAAGAACCTTGTCCTTTCGGGTCTTTCTTTTGTTGAGGCTGGCGTCAAAGTGAATCCGAGAGGAACACCGAAGCCATTTTGGGGTCCCCCCAAAATCAGACACACTCTTCTGGGTGCGCCACACTGAACAGCCGGAAAGGTCTGGGAGCCTCACATATCACTTCGCAAGCGAAAACCGCGCCTCGGCCCGCCAGTCCAAGATCCGGGCGAAGGAGGAGTGGGCCAGCGCGAGCCTTGGTTCGTCGGCTCTGTTCAACGCCAAACCGGTTTTTTGACCTCCGCTTTGCCATGTAGTGTTTGGACTATGCTCCAAAAAATGGGGTTGACCAAAACATACAACAACATGCCCCGCGAATAAGCGGGTACCCTTTTAGGATCCTGACCAAACATGGACAAACAAGAGAGCAACGAATTGGACTACGGCAGCTCCCGCAATCAGCCTCTGCTCCATCACAAGAACCCAGGTTTAATCAACCCCTTGTTTATGGACGTGGTGTCCCATTGCAGAGGAAGCTGCACAGGCTTCCGTCATGTTTTGTCGCTTGGATTGGTGGGGGATTGGGGAGGTGGTTTTCCCATTGCCCTCGAAATGGCCAGGGGTTCAAATCCCCAAACCACAAATCTAAACCAACAATTATGGCTTCACGTCCACCCCGGCCAATCGCCGACCCTACGGATTGATAGCTCCCTCTTTGTGGCCCAGCGAGTTGAAGGGGAGCTGCCCAGCTTGCTGCAAAGCACTGATTTCGAGCGCGCAGCAATAGCACATTTCTTGCCCTTTGAGCGTCACCCAAGCGAAAAATGCCCTGTGACACGGGACTGTTTGTTTGAGAACCCCCTACCAGGTCGGTGATTGAGCATTGAACTCTGCCAATTCTGACAGGGCTTTCGCAATGCACCAAAGGATCCCTTGATGGTTCATACTTGGGTGTTCGGCCAAGTTAGTAAGTTGCGGCCAAGTTAGTGGTTAGCCACCTGTGTTCTAACCCACCAATAACAAGCAGGCAACTCCACCGAACGGGGGGGAATTCTAACAAGCGAGTTGTAACTTAGGCTAACAACTTACCAACTTGGCAAACACCCAAGCTGTGTTGTAACCCACTAGTAACAAGATGCACTTATTGTGATATATAACTTGGGTTCTGAACAACTCACTTCCAAAGTAGAAACTCGGAAATGGGTGTCTTCATTGAGGGCACTGTTATTTTTGGGTGGTCCCCTTTTGAAACCGCCCGTACCCCCCGGCGCGACGACGGGAAGAAAAATCGCCGGAGTCTCGAGGCGCCGCGCCCGGCGCGGCACTCGGTCTGCACACGGTCCAGGTCCCTGGAAGTCTGGCGCTGGCGGTCCTGGAGACGCCAAGAAGACCCGGTGGGGTGCAGCTGGGCTTTGTTTGCTTAATGTTGACCCAGGATTAATAAACCCGTCCCACTACTAGGGGGGTGTTCCCTCCAAAAGTGGTCTGAATCCCCACTAAAAGGGGACACCCCCCTATTAATCAACCAGGGGTTTATTAATCCGGGGTTAACATTATTCGGCTTGGGGGTTGAATGGACCTCATATACCCGGACTTGTAGTCTCGGCACGGAGTGAGCAGTACCGGTGGGATTTGAGCCGCGCCAGCTTCAATAGCACGACCAGGTCTCATATTGTCCGAGTAGCATTGCGTTGCTCCATACCATCGCCTAAATGGACCTCATATCGAGTGACAAACTACGCGGTCCTCAGATCCCCTGCTGACAGTTTAGTGAGATAAATTGTCCTCATCCTCTGGTAAAAGTCAACAGCTTGTAGGTTAAGTTGGAAACTTCCACTGAACCCTGAACATCTAAAAGCCTAAGGGGATGCCAAGAAAGCTGTCATAGACACCAAGAGGAAAGTCCACAGCAAGTTCGTCAAATACCCACCAAAGCTAGAGGTGTGGGCTAACTTCCTGGAGAATTTCCTGTGCCCTGAGGGTCCTGAGTCCTGACGGAACGCAACGGGTCTCCAAGTATCTTTGGACGCTGAAACTGCACGGGGAATCCCGGGTTCTGCATGCCAAGCCCCGATCGGACGGTCAAGCAAGCAAGTGGTGAGACACCTGGATTACAACCCAGTAAGAACCAAAACTCAACTTGGGGGCAATATTACAACCAGGATATAAACCAAGGTACCAACCACTTCATAATTGACCCGAGCACCCAAGTAGGGTAGCTGGTTTCTATAAACCTTGGCACACAAGAAAGGGGGTACACGGAAATGAACATGTTGTCTGACTCCGTTCCATATCCAGTCTACCCTAAAATACAAAAGATCTTTGCGGGAGATGTAAATCAAATGTGCAACAGGGAAGCAGTACATACCCCACACAAATCGGATATTGTCAAAGGATGCAGGGCCAATCAGTGGATTGGCCAAACAAAGTAAGCAGACTTTTGGCTGACCCTGCCCCCAAAAAAGCACATACAACTGGGAAAGTGAGAAGTGATTACTCTGCTCCCCAAGCTGGACATATGGAAGCCCCAGAGTAAGCAGCCTTTAGCGTGAAGGAAGTTCGTTCAGCCTCCCAGTTTACAAAGGGGACCTACTATTGTTGGGGATCCACTTTTAGTGGGAGATCCACCAAACAACAAGAGGTTCAAAGGGTGCCCAATGAACAACTGGGAACAACTGGGTCAAAGATCAGTCCTACATGCACCCGTTCCCGCACATCAAGATAACATGTTGAGGGTTTGTGTTTAGAAGTCGTTCTATTCGAAGAAATAAAGGGAGCTCTTGAAATTGCTTCAAAACCCTCGAGAAGGACCCCCCCCTTTTTCTCAGAACTGTGTCAACAAGCCACGTACAACCAATGGGAGCCTATCCCTGGATAAGTCGACTTGCTAAGGATAAGCCCCAATAGAGCCTTGTTACTGCTTATCAGAAGGGAGTGAAGGAATCACCCCTATGAACCATCCCTTGTTGCTTCGTGTAAGGGAATCCTCAGGGGCATCCCCAAAAAAACATCTTGATTCCTTGCTGACAACCAGGAAATTTCTACAGGCTATCCGGGCCCCCATCCCCGTAGCTGCATTTGGAGGCGCATGGTGGGCGATGAGAAACTTGTTGTTGACGGATTGACGGTTGCCCTTTGGGATAGGGCCAAACGCACGCCCCTCGGCTTCAAGCAAGCAAAGCCAAAGAATCAACTACGCCAAACCCAACCCAAACAAGAAACAAAGAAGACGAACAATCAAACAAACAACACAAACCAGCAAAACCAAACCAAACCAAACCAAACCAAACCAACCAACCAAACAAACAACCAACCAAACAAACAAGCAAACAAACAAAGAAACAAACAAACTAATAAACAAACTAACAAACAAATAGCAGCACCCTAAGAACCACTGGGGGAGTTATTCGCCTTCTGGCAAACCTCTGTTTGGTTCAGAAATTTCCCCCAGCCCGACCACCGGCTTCCATCAAACGAAACCAGGCCACTTGGCTACTCCTCCAAAGACTGCACCAAGCCCGAGACCTGTTCCTGGCGCAAGCTCTGAAGGGACAACTCCAGGCGCCAATCTGACTGATTTCCCTTCGAAATCCAAAAAGGTCCTACGGGTGCCAATACCAAACTGGGATCCACATGCAAACAGGAAGCTAAGAAGGAAAAGTGTTTTCTTTGGGAAAACCTGCCCAAAATCCAAGGGGATTCACAGGAAGCTACAAAGGTAAAGGTGTTTATTGCCCCAAATCCAAGGGTTGCTGCCCGGAGGGATCTGATACAACTGCAAAACCTCACAGCCGTCACCTTTTCCTGGTAAGACAAGAAGAAGAAAACAAAGGCACCGTCCCTTTTTTATCAGGCCCCGAAAATGCCAGGAATAAGAAGCGATCGCCTTCTGGAACCTTGACTTGTGGGAGGCTTGCAATTTTCACGCATGCGGAACCCCCCTCTATGGTACCTGTCTGTCTGCTTCTCCTGAAACAGGTTGGTGACAACGGCGAGCGCCAATATGCCCACGTATCAGCACAGCAATGAAGGGCCACCATCTTGTTTCGTCCAAGCCACAACCACACAACGCAAAACAAAGCCACCACCCAAACATCTACCATGAACACAAACTTCAGGATTTACCCAAACCCGAACTGAGCCAACGCCAAAACCAAAAGGACACCAACAACGGACCAACAGGCCCAGCTTAAACCTGCCTCTCCGGTTGGTCCCGCCTGTAAGCCCTGCTCCACGTTCCTGGAAGGCGTGACTCAGAGCCACGGCTAAGGGGGATCCAGTGGGCTTTTTCTAAGAACGATTAGACATTTATTTGGAACTTATGTTTAAATGGACAAACCATAGTTCTTAACAGGTCCCTAGTGGCAACTAATAGGGACTGATAGTCGCTACTCGTCTCTACTAGGGGTTCAATGGCGGTCCAGCCAAGCGTAAACATGCCCGGTGAGTGACCCATTTGGGGTCGCCCCCGCTCAATCCGCGGGTCCATTCAGCCGGATCAACATTTCGTGGTGAATGCCGCCGACTTGTGAGTTTGAAAACTCACTTGCAACGAAAGGAGCTGAACATTCTAGGGGTACCTCCCCCATTCTTTCCAGGGATCCTTCTAGAAAAGCTGGTTCTTGAAAAGAACTAGGGTTGGAAAGAATGGAAAAGGAATCAACCCCTAGAAACATAAGCTGTGGTCACCATTTCCGGCTGCCATGATTAAAGCCTTGGTGGCTGCGGCGCAGAAAGTGGGTGGCACGCATGGTTTGCTGGTGAGTGGAACGGGCAACTAGGAAAACCGACAAAATGAAGCTGAAAGGCTCAAATTGTCGGGCATTCTCTTTTGTGGCTCAAATGGGTGTCTTTTTTGAGGGTACCTTTTCAAGGGAAACCAAAATAACCATAGACTACCGGAAAAATGTTGAGCGAACCTCATATGTCCCATGGTCAAAGCTCCTTCTGTGGCATGGCTCACTTGGGCGGACCTAATAGTGCTGTAAACAAAACAAACATGGGTCCAGGACCATGCCTACCAACCAAGTAAACCTAGCAGGAAGGTTGGACGACTTGTTCAGCTGGCGAGACTGGGTGTGAAAGTTTCTTGGGGTGGTATGCCATCCATTCATCGACCAGGTACAAGTATGGTCTGTAGAAGCCACTTTTCACTCCTGGGCTCTCACACTGAGGGGGACCCATGGTTTTTGGTTTGACAAAAAAGAATCCCTTGAGTCGTTGTGTTGTTTTGAGGATTCCAGTTAAACCAACCTGAAAAGTTAAGTTGGCTAACAACATGACTACGACAAACACTTAAGATTAAAAAGCAACTTACAATAAACTTCTAACCTGAAAACATAAGATTTTGTTTTAAAGGAAAAACAAATGACCAAACAAACAACGTTCAGCGGCCATCGAGCGGGCCTGGCGCCAGACACCAAGGTCTCCACCGACTCCATACCTGAGCTCGCGGCCAGGAGTGGGAGAGAGGCCCCACGCGAGTCTAAGCGCACCCACATATGTATTTGTTTACGCATATATGAAGAAAACACACACTAACATGTGTACATATATATATATATATACCCTGCGCTTCAAAAGGCCTGTCTAAAGCAGGCCTCTGGAAAGAGGCCTTGATTTGTCAAGAGGCCTTGTTTTGTAAACCCGGAAGTATCCATGGTAAGTATCCACGCCTTTTCAAGGCCTTTGGCCCCTTGTTCCTGGCCCAAGAAACATGGTTTTACATTGGCTGCATATGGTGCGTCACCCACGATGTCGCTACATGTTGTCCTTTGTGCTCTCAATCTCTGACATCTTTACCTCGCATTGCTTTGCTCCAAGGCAGTTGTTTAAACGGACGAACTCCAGTGGAGTTGCGATTCCATGCTTTCCTTTGGAGGTGTCGGCACAGTTTCGGCGACCCTGCATTTTTCGTGGAACAAACGCCACGCTCTTGCACGAAGGCTGCAGTTGGCCCAAGCAAAAGGTTGGGTTTTGGCAGTAGCGTCATGTGGTCCTGCTGGGTTTTTCTGTGCTGTCCTCGCTTTTTGGCATTGCGTCCACGCCTTTTTGAGGCCTTTCCACGCCTTTTTGAGGCCTTTCCACGCCTTTTTCCGGCCTTTCCACGGGTTGTCCATGCTTTGTCCACGGTCCAGCTGGTGTTCTGAATCACTTCCCTGGGCAAAATGCAGCACAGCGTTTTGCTGACACAGGCAACAATTTGCAGATCTTGTTGTGAGTTTGGCTCCAGTTTCTCAAGCATATATCTACGAAGGGGGGCTTCAAACTAAAGAAAGTCCCAAACAAGATGGTAGGAAGGCTGCAGCTATGATTCTGCAAAGGAGAGTTGTTGGCTTCGGCTACTCCTCGAGACCCTTCAGCTGAGGCATGCGCAAATGCATGTTACACGCATTCAACAAAATGCCAAATCCCTTCGAGTAAATATATTTGCCAGAAACTGCACGAGGTGGCCACCCCCAACTTTTCAAGGCCTTTGCCCTTCCTTTTCGAGGCCTTTGCCCTTACTGTTTGAGGCCGCTGCACACCCTATTCAAGGCCTCTGGAACAAAACAAGGCCTAGGCCTAACAAAAGGAGGCCTTGGAAGCCCAGGGTATATATATATATATGTGATATGTGTGATATGTATATATATATATACATATACATATGCATGGTATTGGGTATACATAGAGCGAGATGTTCTATGCTTGTTGAATCCGAAAGGGAACCCCTTCCCAAAAGGGACAACAGGGGTGCCACAGGGCAGCTCGGCTCTGAGGCCCCAAGGTGACCCAGGGTTTAGGAATGAACCTAGGGTTACCCTCCAAGGAAACCACCAATTGGATGGTTTTTTGGGGGGTCGTTCCATTGCTCACTCCCTGAGAACCAGCAAGAAAAGGCATCATCTGACCCTCGACGTCAGCTCCTGGCCGGCAAGTTGGAAGCACCTGCAACAGACTGACACTGGTTGGGCTTTGTGTGCAGCCTCAAAGAACCAAACACGACTCAATAAGAGGCTTGATCAAGGTCCATTCGCTGAGTTGGGTTCAACGGGTACACCCCCTTTCTGTAAGCAATCCAGCCCGACCTGACAAACTGACCACTGAAAGCTGGCAGAATCATGAAGCCCAGCCAGCCCCCCGGCGTGACCGGCGTTGCTGTCTTATTGCATGGATTCTACCGAATGCAAGGTGGCCAAACAAGTTCAGATTATGGTCCGTATCTAGCCCGCCCTGTGCAAACAAACGCTGTGAGACCCCAAATAAGGTCTAAAGGCCCTCTTGGGGCGAGCAGGATCCGAAAATTGGCGAGCATTTGTTGGACGGCTGGGGCTCGGAGATTCTGGCTAACCCGTTGGAACCCCGCCGAATACTTCCAGGATGGTCTGATCTGGCCAAGTTGCGAGCCGTGAGGCGTCGAAGCTCCAAGTCCTCGCAAGGCACAGCCAGCATCGCCCCACAAGTCACGCAGAACGCCGGAGGCCTGAGCCTGGTAGACAAAAGGGGAACCCTTCGGACTGCTGCTTTTTGTTCTTCTTCTTTTCGCGAAAGGCAAAATCCGGAAGGACTCAAGGAAACTTCATCCACGTCACGGGTGAGCTCGGCAGGAAACAAACATGGAAACTCAACGTCGAGTGAAGGGAGATGGACACCTTAGGGTTCAACCCCGATTAAAAGATGATTGACCCAATGAAGGATGATGACACTGCTTGCGCAAACTATGGTGATTCTTTGAACCCCCATTGTTTTGATGGTGGTTTGAATCCCAGGGAAATAAGTGGACCGATCTATATATTATAATTATATAGTTTCCCCAATAATGTCTCCGGACACGCCAAAGAATCCCCCAACTCCCAAACAAAGTGACGCACCCCCCCCGGCGATGTCCGACGATCAATGTGCAAGGGAGGCATCAATGGATCCGTTGTTTGAAGCTTCCCTCCCTTCGAGGCAGCAAAACATGGGTCTGCCTCAAAATAGGACCCACATGTCACCAAAGTTTCCAGGACATGGAAGTCAAAGGCACGTCTAAAATCCAAGTGGGGAGTCAATGAGGTCCAATAGAATATAATTTCTGTGTGTATATAATATACCTATATACATATATATATGTAGTTACATAAAACACTGTATGTATATATATATATATACACAGCGTTTTATGTAATCATATGCAGTTGTGATCTATTGTTTTACTAGAGTTGTGTAAAGGAACACCGAAAGGCGGGTTCTCGGCCTCTCGGCTCCCTGCCTCCCGGCTTGCCAAAGCGTCCAACGCCGCCTACGGAATGGGACACGGGCGCCGGCTGACTTGATGGCGCGGGCGAAAAAGACAGCAACACGCAACCCCAATACTCGGTTGTTTTCTGCTCCCCTGCTAAAAGTTTAACTTTGAGCGGTTTAATGGAAAACCCAGCAGTTGGCAAAAAGTTAAAGTCCTAACAGCCAAGCAAAATGCACCAAAGAATAGGTAGTCCCAAAATGGGTGGCTCGTCTTTTCTTGACAAAAGAAACTAAGAGAAAAACCACCACCTACAAGGGAAACTAAAAGAAAAAACACCAAAGGAAAACCTCCCCTGCAACAAAGACACACCCGGGGGTCCTGGTGGTTGCAGCGCCGTCTTTCTACGGAAAAGTCCAAATCGTGAGGACTTTGGCGACTTGATCCAAGGAATTCGTGCCAAACATTCGGTGTGCCATTAAAACGATCCACCAAAAATGCTTCGTGTCCAGGATGCTTTTGCTTGAGCTAAAAGTTTGGAACCCACCCCCCTTGAAGCAAAGGACTCCGCTGGGGAAATGGGAACTAAGCTTCAAGCAAGACTCACTGAGGGTTTCCCAGTTCATCCCAAAAACGGGGGACATGTGGCTGGACACCAAGGTTCAATGTGCGACAGCAAAAAAAAACACTGGATTGTTTTGCGGACCCATCTGAAATGATCAGCTTGCCTCATAGGATCCACCCTCAACCCCTGCGAAACAGTTGCCGGGCTCCTAACACTCACTCTCTGTTCCGCTGAGGGATCAGGTGAGAGGGCTTGGTGCAAGGTCTGGGGTCCACATCAAGTGGAGCGGCTGTGATCGAGGCTTGCCTCTTCTCACATCCCAGGCGTGCCAACATGCCGGGGAAACATATCACTTACGGGGAGATATCGGTTTGAACAGGTTGCCAACTGTTGAGCTGGCCGAGTCGCCGTCAAGCTCAGTGCACCCTACGTGATCCACCCGTTTTCCACCAGTCCCTGTCTGGGCGCCCCTGTCAGGTTTACACACATTTCTCACTTCCCAAGTGGAGGAGCCAAAAGCGCCTAAACTGTTTGTTTGCCCGTGAACATGTATGTCGTCGCGAAATCGAAAGTTCGGAAACGGGAGTGAGAATCTCCAACCGGGGGGCAAACATATAAACCCTGGTTTGCGAATGGAACCAACGATTCATGTTCCGTTTTTCTCTCCATGTCTTTGGGTTGTATCCCGTCTGAGAGTTGGGTTGGCTCACTGCACCTCAAGCTGACCGACCCTCTTGGTAGGCACAACAGACGGAACTCGCAAGATTGGCTCGATCCCTTTCTACGGGAGGCATTATCTCAGTTGTTCAGTGACCCTGGAAAAAAAGGGAACCCTTTTTTGGGAAGACCATTGTAGTGGGGCAGCCACAAAAAAAAAGGAAAAGGGAGCCACTGAACAACTGAGTCATATCCACTTGAAGCCTCTCCCCAAAAAAACATGGCCAAACAGGTGATGCTTGCATCCAAAACAGACATGCATTGGGTGACCCTACATACATTCCAACAAATGGGTTCTAAAATGCTACACAAATGATTCTCCTTTTGTGCAAACAATCAGAACCCGTAGATTTAGAACCCTTTTAGGGCCCACTGCTTATTCAGGCTTTACACAGGAAGGTGGTACACCCTTAAATGATTTGCTGGCTTGTGTCCAAGTAAAAGGTTGCAAACCAATGACCGGGTCCTGCGCCGTGGTGCGGATAGAGTACATATCCTTGGGCAGGTTCACAAGCTGTGCACGAGAAGGTCGGATAACTCGAGGTAGTTCCCTGCCGGAACATACTAGCCAGTTTATAAGCAACTCGAGCCATGTGACTCCAAGGTCCTGCGATTGGCCTGGCTCCGGCCAACGGAGTTGGCTCAGCCAGTCACAAGTGACTGACTGAAAGCGGTTCCCCACATATAAGCATCTGCTAAATCTTCTGAGAGGACGAGATCGAAACCGCCCCGCAGAGTGAGGTAGAACCAACCATAAGTCCTGAATACTAGGCGCTGCACATGTCTTACCCCAGCTAATGGTTGATATCCCGGATCCCTAGAAGGAAAGGGCTAGACTTTGACAGCCGAAAAAATCAACAACAAGGCCAAAAAAGGACTAAACATTGACCAGTAAGGGAACATGTAAAGGTCAAATGGTCGATTCGCTTTGGGCAAGTAAGACTAGACCAATCCTTGGCTTTCATATGGAGGTTGATCAATACTCCTGGCCCCAAATGAATATGGGTAACTTTTCCCGTTTGGTGGGAAATATCATGTTGTTGTGTGGTCTTCCCCAATGGTCATCCTACGTAACGGACCTTTTGATCAACACATCTTCACCGGCCCACCCGCACAGCCTGCATCTCCTGCAAGCGGATTTCGCCGCGTTCGCGCAGCGACTCGCTGAGAGACGCGGCTTTGGAGGCCAAGGCCTCCTGACCGAAGTCGCGTCTCACGGTGTCTGCCGTTCAGTTGCCATGTGTTCCCGAGCAAACTAGTGGTTGGGTCAATATAACCAACAGACTGTGGATCGACATCCTGCACCACTTTGAAATTGGAAACCATGGCAAACCATTGTTGGTTGGAAATTGCAGGGGAATCATCATTCCAGGGTTTCTTGGGTGGTGCAGGATTTCGTCCATCCACAGTGTAACCACCATATTACCATTATTTAACTATACTAACATTCATCATCTAAATTAGATCCACCTTTAAGCACCATTACTTACTTACAAGGAGTGTCTTCATCTAAATATTGGATCCAACATAACTCTATTGGGGGTTGAAACCTAGTGTGCTTCCTTTGTAAGGCTACCGTGCTGTGGCTTGTTTTGGAGGGCCAAACTCATTGGGGGGGGGCTCCTCTGTTTGTACACACATCCTCACAGAATCAGCTACTCGATTCCCCCCCGCAAAAAAAATAAAGAACACAGGAAACAATGCACCTTTCGCCAGTAGGCTCCCCATTTGAGACAGAAGTGTTGATCAATTGAACATGGGAAAGAAGGAACATCCCTTTGTGTTTGTGGGAGGTTTAGTGAGTCCCCCCCATATCCCTCCCAAATGGAGGGAAAACACAATGGACAACTGAGCAAACCATAATTCAGGATGCGTGCTCAAAAAGCGATCGTTTTGATCCCCTCTGAAATGGGACACCCCAGGCCCCAATCAACAAATCAGCCAGCGGGTTCCCTGTGCTCTTTCTTCGTGCGAGCAAAACCCGGGGTTGCAGCTGCTTTCCGCACCCAAAAAGAAGCATCCCCGTGTCTTGAGTGAGCCACGTTGTCCCCGTCCACGCTCGTCGACCCGAGCGTTGAAGCAGCGGAACCAAAACACCCTGCATCAATCGGTCAAAACGTTTTGCCGCGGGCAAACTCGACCGGGCTGGCAGAAAGATCGGAGCGATGAGTTTCACGTCAGGCTCCGCTCCAAAGTCAGATTTTGCCCCAACCCCCACTGAACAACTAGGTCATAATAATGTTGGTTCTTGAACCAACAGCAGCTGTTGTCAGGGGTCCTTTTCCCATGGCTTTCCGTGGGAGCGGGAACCCTGATCAACTGGGGGGGGGTTGTGAATCAGGGGTTGACAGAAGCTTATAACCCAGATGGGTCTGATTTGTTTTCTTCTCTTTTCTTCCAAGGGAGCCTTTTGTGGGCTGGTTTCAAGGCAAGCAAATAGGAAAACCGTACCGTGTTGGGAGGTCCCCGCAAAAAGACACACCCATATAATATACATAACCAACAATTGTGATCCTTTTCTTTCCCTTCCAACCCGTCCAGAAACCCATGGGCACTGTTGTCCTTGTGCTCGACCATGGGGGTCGAACCGGTTTGGGAATCTCCCAAAAGTTGTCCCGAAAAGAGCGAACGTCGAAAAACAGTTGAGAAAAAAAAGTTGCAACACAGTTGAGAAAAACAGTTTAAACAAAAAAACAAAACAAACCAAACACATCTGTTTTATGCCCCGAGTCGCCGGCATCATCGCAATGGCTCCTGTTCCGCTTGAAGGCCCTGCAGCTCCGCACGCCACTCGTCGCGCAGCTGCAGCGCGGCCCCGTGCACCTGGGACGCCGCCTCTGCCTCAGCGACCCATGGGGTGGTGAGGAGAGGTGGCCATGGGTCAAAAGCCCGGTTATCCCCCAGTGAACATCTCAATCCCCACTAAAATGGGTTCCAAAATGATGGCAATGGTATGCCCCAAATTGAGGCAACTGAGCAATCTGTCACAACTGTCAGGTTCTCGTTCAATCAATGGGCAAAAAGGGTCCCGACGGCCATGTTCGGTCCTCACAAAAAGGCCCTTTTGAAACCCATCTTGAAAGATACCAAACCAACTGGGATACCCAACTGGGATACCAAACCAAACCCATCTTTAAGGCACCAACTGGTTCTTTGCCCCCATTGAATTTCTGGTGCCTTTAAATCATGGTGGTTGTATCAACCCCACTTGTTTCAAAGCTGGCTTGAACCCCGAACATATGCATCTCTACTCTTGGTATGGTAGCAAAAAACTGACTGTTTTTTGCAGACCCCCAGTAAAACTGAACAGAACAAAAAAAACTAAAAAAAAAATCATGCCAAGAACAGCGAAGTATGGTAAAGGCCGTCGGGCAAAACGATTGCAACACTTTGAAAAAGCCTCAAACTGCCGCTTCGAAGGACCCGATTACTGCAGTTCTGACCGTGACCTTCTCGAAGAACGCGGCGAAACAATATATTTCCAGGCTGGAATTAGGACCCCAGCAAATATATATATATATATATATATATATTTGCCTGGTTAGTGGAAAACAAAGGGACCCCAAAAAAGCAGAAGAACAAAAGGAGAGCTCATTACTGCAGTCTGACAGACCTTCTGTGTTCTCGCCAAATAAATGTTTGAGGGTCGACTGATAGTAGCTCCTCAATGCTTGGGAATTGCTCGAAGCAACACATTACTCTCTAGCCAAATTACGTAAGCTCGATGTCTCAAAGTAAGGGACCTTCGTCATAGGGCTCTTAACTTGAATTGGTGGGTTGGCTGAATTTGTGCAGAAATCACCTGTGGGTTCGTTTCAATTGAAATCCGCTGGAACCTCGGTCTGAGTCTTTTTGCCGACGCTGGACTCTAGATTTCATCCAACCCAGGTCCCTGGAAAAGCTCCTTGCAGGCAGTCCGGAGCGTTTTGGTCCCCAAAAGGGAAAATGTATGTCGAATACCTCGCTCCCTGAGATTGTGGACTTGAGTCACTTCTTGGGTTTGGACCATTTTAGTGGTAAAGAACGAGTTCAGACTTCTTCTGGCCAATCGGAGTAAGTGACGGATACACTTGAAAGCAGGGTGACCGTGCCTAAGGGTTCGTGGGGACGAGTTCGGGTTGGTGCAAATTCACTCTTCCAACATACTCATATACACCATCAGCCGGCATGGCTTGAATACTAGGTCCTCCAGTGGAGAGCTTTTTTCTGTGGTCTATTTTAGCAGGGCAACCCTCGCCCAAAAAAGAAATGGGAAACGGGCACTACTGGGGGACCTAGCACTCATATAATACACCATCAGCCAGCATGGCTCGAATATGTGGCCATGGGTCAAAATCCCGTACCCTCTCAGTGAACCTCCCAACCCCCACTAAAATCGGTTCTTAAATGGGTGGTGAATTCACCGAATCCCAACCAAAATGGGATTCCAGAACGGTCAAATGACAACCACAGCCAGGTTCAGTCTCCCGCTCCATGGGTCTTCCATCGGTTTGCTCGCCTGCATCATCTTCCGCAGCTCTTCGTGTGGCTCTTGCGCCTTCGCCAGGCCCTGGAAGACACGGCGGGTGCATGCGTGCAACCAAAAAGAAACCGAGAGCGCTCCGCGGATTTGAGGGTTTGTACCTGACCCTCTACAAATGGGTCAATGACCCCATTGATTTTGGTAATGACCCCATCTTTTAGGGTCGTGGAGACTCCAGGTACGGCCTGCTGGTGGCTCTTTCATCAGCCGACTGCACGACTTGTTTCCTTGGATGTTTCTTCATTTGCATGTACAAACATCGGCTGAATGGTTCGGAGCAAGAGTCAGTTGGTGGTTTGGTTTGGTGGACGTTAAGGGGACCTTCCACCGTTGTTTCAAAAGCAACTGAGGTTCAATTCCCCAAACCAATCCACGCCACCCATTTACGGTAACCCGAAAAGCCCCGCTGTTCTCGCTGAACAAAATACACTGCATCTCTTTGTAGTAGATGAACATCATCATTTCTGTACCTCAACTCCTGAGATTGCCAACAAGTCTATGTTTTTGCCCAAGAGCTGAAAGCTTTGGGGTCTCTGCCAACATGGGCTCGGGAGTGCTTCGCAGCAGCTTTTTCACAGAGGGTCCCAAGGCTTCCGGTGGGTTCCGAGGGCTGTTGGGGATGCCATCTGTGCTTTCTTGGGCTGCCGCTCAAGTCACCTTCCCAACAAACACGTCCAGAAACTTCGCAGATAGTCGGAGTTTCTACGATTCCCTTCCCAAAGCTGCGGATTTTCATGTGAAGAAAAACGCGACGCGCTTTCTTCGGCTGATTTTCAAGGAAGCCCTCCAACAAAAACGTGGAACAAAAGTGTCATTCCTGGAGGTCTTGACCTTGGTATCATGACACCAATCCCCCCCACCTCTTGAGGGGCTGTCTCAAAAATTATCCATTTAATTTCCTTTCAAGACAGACCCAACATGGATACCCTCTATCATAATTCACCAACTGGGCGTTTCTAAAAAGGGGAGACACCACAACACGGATATCCTCAAAGAAGATACACCCATGGAACCACATTACTCGTTGAGGGGTGACCCTTCAAGCGAGCAGGGTTGATGTCCGCGGGCTGAACGGGTTCTAATAAACGCTGTTGTGATCGCCAGAGCAGCATCCGCCCTTAAAGGCAACCATTTGTGAGAACCCATGGGTCACCCCAACTCCGACTCGACTGAACCCATGATGCTCTAGTG